ATAATAATAATAATAATAATAATAATAATAATAATAGAAAAACAAAGTAAGAAGAAAAGAAAATAGAAAAGAATTGCCAATGATAAAAGAAACCTTGTTCAAATGGGAATGTTGTTCTTTTCAGCACTCCCCCAAAACGGAAGTTACTACTGCTGTCACACGATACCGTCGACTGATGTCATGCTACTGCTCCCTCCGTCTACGTTGACGACTATTGCACCCAATCCCCGACCTCCTACGTGAGAGATAATCAATCAATGATGGACTCAACGGATGATGGAGGGTGGGAACACAAAGGGGTTCGCACTTGGCCGTGCTATCTCAGTGTGATTAGGTTGCAGATGCTTGGACTTGTTACGGATGAGAGCGGTGATGACTCTGCCTCCACAGCGAATCGTCGTTGCCAGCCACGTCTTCTAACTTCCACTAAGCACCTACCCTTGAAGGGCTAGAGACTAGCTCCCTTGCCGCTCCCATGTGCCCAGTGGGTGCATCCGTGTCTGCCTGTCTGTCAGATTCACCGGTTTGGAATCTCTTTCCCCTCAAGAAAAAAAAAGAACACTTCGGCCATTGCGACATAAAACAAGGATCTTGGCCGGCCCCATTTTCATAACTTCATTGAATCTTGGATATGTCACCAGACCCCGCACAAACATTGCACTTCCACAGTCCACACACACACACACACACATACTCGAATCCCAGGCTCCGGGACACGGGTGCTATCTCTCCGAAGAAAATGAAATAAAAAAAAAAATAAAAAACGTTGTGGCTGACTACTTACTATCCATCCCGTAATTAACTACCACTCCCCAAATACCCATGGCCGTTTCCCGCTCGACAGAAATTGAACCGGGTGACGCTAATGCAAGTTATTTTCAATCGCTACCGATCGGGCCATGGTCATGCCCGTCTGGCGCCGTCCCAAGGCTGTAGCACTGGGAAACTTAGAACTCCCCACTATAAGTGTGTCTCTCACGGCCCTTCCCTTCATCAACTAATTGATGCTAGGGGGCGCCGCTCGCTCATACTAAGTATCTAAGCGCCATCCTTTGTCACAGGGCCAACGCGGAAGGATGGTCTTACACATCATACGTGCGACTTGATCCAGACACACACACAACTTTGATAAGTAGTGAGTGAGTGTCAGCCTGATTTGTCAAAGCACAGGAACACGCACAAGCATTCTGCAACCTCTTTTCGGGCTTTCCTAACTCAAGATTATCTCATCGTCGTGCTCGACACCGCCACAATATCCACCGATTAGATGCCTGAAGCGGCAGGTGGGCAACCGCGGACCGAGCCTATCATGTCGGTGCAACCTCTTAGGTTTGGTATCAGCTTGCCAGTCAGGTCTTTCATCTGTTTTCAGCTCAGCACAGTGTCGTGCTCGGAGCGTTCATACCCACTATGACCACTGGAGCCGCACACCACTGTTACCAGCCCTCGGATACAAGTGTCTGTAATCATGCATAAGTGGAAGCGCCCTGCTTGCCACTAATCTGTTCAAGACGTGACGGTAATCCCGGTAACCAGGCTCACCGCCTAATGGATCCCCTCTGCCATTCCGCCCGTGTATAGTGACCTCCACTTCTTTCCACAGGACGGAGGATGGTGGGTGGTTAGGTGGGCACACACCTTGAGACAAGAGAATGAGAGAGAGGATGTCGAACCCACTCTATCTCTCTCACAAGCGCGAGGACAACTTTCCCATCGCCACTTTAATTATTTTTGCTCCATCATCCCATGTGGCCGGGACCTTCGATGCCCCTTCGTATGAGCTCCAGTAGAAGGTCTGATCCATGGAAAGGACACAGTTGGCGGCCCCGCCGACCCAATGAAATGCGAGCAAAGCGCCTCCGTATCAGCAGCGCAATTCGAGCCCCGGTACACATGCCGCTCACCGCACGGTAACTCAAGGTATTTATCGCCGGAACCGAACATCCTCCGAGCGACCCAACCACTGGGTAGTAAGTACTACTAAGTAGTGCGTTACCGCTGAACCATGAACCGACAAGAGAAGAAAAGGGAACCTAAATTCACCGGGATTTGGTGCCCATGGTCCCCGCGCCGTGTGCCAATCAGCTGCCGTGCGACTACGGTTCGGAGCGCTCCTTTCCCTGCTGGACCCAACCACAATCGAGGCGTCGGTAACTCAAGGGCTTCTCCTACGCCAATGGGATAGCGCCGCGGCTGTCGCTTAACCTTTGGGACTGACTTGCATCACTCCGTGCCCACCTCTGTGCCCACTCGTAAAAACGAGCTGCTTTTTGCGGGGACATTCTTTAGTCGAGTAATGGATTCTCTCTTTCGCCCTCTCTTTCTTACTTTCTCCTCTCTCCTTTCTCTCCACTTGGATCAACTTTTCACTTTTTAATATTTTTTTTTTCACTTCCTTTCAGAACAAATGGTATGCGATCTAGCCTGTGTGTCTTTTTATCATTCGTCCAGACGGCAGAAAATTATTTCTACTACTATTTTTTTGGCCCCCAAACACCGTTACCCCATGGCTTACGTACAAATCTGAGCAAATCGAGTAGGTGAGTAGTAGTCTATTTAGTACGTAGTTAGTTCAGTAAGTAGTATAGGTAAGGTAGTCTGACTTGACTACTACGTCCGGTAATCAGGTAATATTAACGATTCAACGTAGTACGTAGTGGGGTTTTCTGTTATGGAAGTTTGCCTCTGTGTGTGGCTTCTTTTCTTCTTCTTCTTCTTCTTCTTCTCTTTCTTTTCGTCTAGTCTAGTCTAACTCAAGCCACATTAAACCTCTCATTCTGATTCTTTATCCGACTTTATTTTATTTTATTTAATTCTATAGATCATGATTTTGCACTCAAATCTCTCTTTTGTTTGCGTATCGTACTAGAGAGTAGTACTTAATATGAAGGAACTTCAGGTATGGATGAAACATGGATAACCCGCGCCTCGGACCGTATACCCAGCGAATCCTATTTTCTTTGTGTGTCAGGTTCGTTCAAGATAGATAGAAGGGAATCCATGGCAATGGTTTTGGTTTCCAAGGAAGGCACATACTACGGTATCCCTTTCCGCGCAAAATTTAAAACCTGGAGTTTCTACGGAGTATCTACGGAGACTAAGCTACTAAGGCTAGTAGTACTACTACATATGAACATCGGAGTAGTAAGTAGGTAGCGTTGCAACATTTTGATATGGTGATACATAGTGATATGGTGATGATGATGATGATGATGGTCACACTTGAAAGAGTCCCCATACCACCATCATCAGGATTTTCGAGGATCCGTGACCCAATCGTATTTCTGAATGGTCAGGGCGAATTTCGCTATTGGTTGAAAATCGCAATTTCTTAATTTCTTTCTTTCTTCAAAGCAGTGAAGAAAGAGAGTTTCCATCCATGGTGGTCCTTACCCCCTTTCGGGGCAATGGGACGGTACATCCGCCGCGCGCGGGAGTATCTCGCATGTCCCGGTCCGGGCGCCCGCCCACCCCCTCATCCATTTCTACTACGTATCTAACATGCCTGAGGTAACTTGGAATTATGGGGCCTGGAACCATGTACGTGTATGTTATTGGTTCCTTGCAACCTCAGGTACCATCCCTCTTGGGTTTTCGTTTGATCATTCACGCATGCATGCACGCATGCAATCAACCCCGAGGCGAGGGAGGGAGAGAAACGAGGGGAACCTGGGTAACAAACGGTGGGGTGGGTGGTCCACGCGATATGCCTGATGCCTTGATCCCGTTCAATTCTCTCCAAGTCAAGTCTCAGGCTGCATATCTGAGCTGCATCTATTGCTGATAGCCCTTGCGGACGGGTTGGACCGTACCGTTCGAAACATGCCCCAGGTATGGTTGGAGGATGCAAGGGATCCTGGGCATTGGGGGCCATGGGTAGTAGAGGTAGCCAACCCCTCATTGATCAGAAGGGCCGAGGGTTGAACCAGGAAGATAATAGTAAATCGACAGGTGACTCGTGCGTATGGTGTGTGAGGGCTGGTCAGTTTAGTATTTTTATTATTGTTCTATTCCCCGTGATTGTGCATTTATTTGTTTTTTTCTCTTTCTTCCTTCTGCTAGTCTGTCATAACAATTAGCTCTGAAAGATGCAGGCTCCCGCTGATGACGAGTCATATTAGAGACAAGATCGTGAAGAATTGAGATGGTGCAGATGTTTGCTTGTTTGGGAGCCAGGTTGGAGGGAGTTCCCAGTCGTGCTACCCCAATCAAATGATGCCAGTTTGGCCACAGGGATGTGTGTTGGATTGAGCCCTGACCACAACAAGGCAGCCGCTGCATGCACGCGGGCACTACTGCGAAGCATACATATCCTGCCTTTCTGTTCGGCAGAGGCCCGGGGCGCACCTTGTTGTATGTAAGTAGTATATTATACTACCTTCGTATGTACCTTGTATCGTCATACAACGACCATACAGTAGCGTCTTATCAGCAATTTTTCATTTCTTTTTCTTTCAGCAGGCAAACGAGAGCCTGAAGAGGATGCAGCCAAGCTGTGCAGTAAGGGTAGTTAGTGGCTGTTCCTCGCATGTGCGATGCAGCAAAGGCGGGCAGGTATGTATCATTAAAAAATGACAACAACTTTAGTTAGCTGCAAAGTACCTACTTACCTTCTAGGCTGGTTGCAGCTGATGACCAGCTTTGGCGTGCTCCCTTCCCCACCCCTCCTTTGTCTGTGCAAGCGTCCTTTTCTTCTTCTGCAATTTCACCCACTATCCCCCCCCTCCGGTCATCGGATCATGGTATGTATGTAAGGAGTGCCCAGGTACCGGCAAACAAGACCCCGACAATCCCAATAATCATTATTTGAGGATGCGTTGAGGATGAAATGAGTGGGCTGGTTCGAGACACTGTCTGCTTGGTAAGAAAGCCACGATGCATTGCTCCGAGGCCCCGATTTGTGGTACACTAAGTGGCAAGCAACCATGGTTCAATATTGCCCGGCCCCCTTCGTACCGGAGCTCTGGGAATTGAGAAGAAATACCAAATCGGAGGTAAAACCACCTTCCTAATAAGTTCCCATCGAATAATTGGTAAACGGAGAAAAGGAAGTGAATGTGTTGAGAGCTGTTGGTTTTTTTTTTCCCCAAACAGAGCGAACCAACTTCGTTGAGAGAAGGAAAAAAGTACTCCGGGACAAAGGAACACAGCATGAGGAAAGTGGGACATTAAGGCTGGATTCCCACACTTCCTTTCCATTCCTTCCCTAGAAGAATAATTTATTTATTTGTTTTTTCTAGTCTTCTGATTGTTGCCTGTGCATGTGCGTTGCCGTTTCCTCCTGTAAATCAAGCAAATCAAAGCAGTGTGACCAGGACGAAGTTGTTTGTGGGCCGCTGTGTTGTCGAGTATGTATGCAGCAGCAAGGTCGGCAGTAGTACTGCCGATGATTATTCATATTCTGCAACCATATTGAAGAAGAACTAGTGATGTGCAGTATTTAGTAGGGTTCCGACAGAGCTTTTGCCATCCACGGGCCGTCAGCCCCTCTTTCTTTAAAAGTTCGGGGCTTCGGGCTTTACCCGGGTGGAGCCAGGATGTCCCTTCCCCGAACTCAGCCTGGATCATTGAACTTATTTGAGGGTGGAATAATGCTGGAAGTGCAAAGTAAGTAGCTCGACGTAGTGAGCCAGTATGCATGTAGCAGCATTATCCAAGCAGTGGTTATCATAATACCTAGTTCTCTATGGTACATGCTCCAGCATTACTAGTACTGATTGTTGCCCGTGGAGATTCGAGTAAGCACTATTTCTTACTGAAACCTTAGTAAGGATGATTCTGTCCTTGTTGGCAAATATTCGACGTGGCGTGTGGCCTTGTTCTGAGCCAGTTTGAACTGGCGCCTTGGAGATGCATTGGCTAATAGAAACGATGCCTAGCACCTCCGATATTTTCGTGTAGTGCGCTGCTTCGCATATGTGTTGTGGCCGACTTTAGACTGCTTGGTGCTAGTACTGGGTATACACTGGTATTTTTCCGTATGTTTGAAACGAGCGGAGTACTGCCAGCTGTATGTATGGACTACTTACCTAGTGTACCTAGTACGTAGTACGTAGTAGTAGTGACTACTGCAGTCAGTTCCTATCTTGGTACCAGTCCAAAAGCACAAAGACCCGGCACAAATGCTGTAACTGGGATAGTTTCAACGCCCATTCAGCCATGGCAAAGTGGTCATGTGAATTACAATCCGCAACGGTGTTTCAATGCCCGCCCAAAGGGGGACAAACACTATTACCGTGTATAATGTCAAAATACCCAAAAGATAGGAGCAGGACACCACAATAAAAAAATAAGAAGAAAAAGAAATAATATTCGCAAAAGGAAAGAAGCAGAAAAGATATACCAATAGAGGGAGATGAGGAAAATGAGAATTAAAAGAAAAAAAAAAAGCCAGTGAAAAGAAAAATAGGACACCGTAATAAGTAGAAAACGCGACTAAGCCCCCAAACTGGAGACGGAAGGACTTGAAGCGGTCGGTGGAGTTCCGTCACGGCGCCTTTACCCGTCCCGGCGTACCCTCCCTCCGTCATCAGTCGTCACTTGCGCCTTCTGGCAAACTTACGCCCCTCTTCAGGCTCTAGACGCAACAGGAGTGGCTGTTTGTGCGGTCGCCGGGGCCTGCCAAACGCCCAACCCGAGGGCCTTACAGCGATTCAGCTGATCCCCATGGAACCGTGAATACTTTAGCTGCGTCTTAGGTGAGTCCCCGTCCATGTCTATGGGTCGCTGGCGCGTTGGACAGGGTCCACCTGGTCTGCGGACCGTTCTTCTACGCTATTCCTTTCCATGACCGCTACTCCATCCTTCCACATGTGTTTTTTATTTTATTTTTTTTTTCCCTCTTCTCTCACACCTCTTTCTTTTTCTTTCCCCTGCCTTTATTTTTTTTACACCCACCACATCCTCTCGTCGAGTCAGCAATACTACACCAGAACATACTGAAATTTCACAGCTTTTTATTTTGCTGAAGATGGTCCACACATTCTGTCCTAATCATTCTATCTTAGTAAATATTGAGACAATAGAAGATACAGTACCACCCATAGTATCGTTTCCCCCCCCCCCTCTCTTCTCAAAATGGTGGATCGACCAATTACCCTTCCCAAACCGTCTGGTACTACTACTATTCATTTGCCCGACGACGGAGCCTGGGTTCCATGGTGATTCTAGCACCCACGACAAATTAATTGCCCGCGTGGTGATTTTCTCCAGCAGAACCAATGATAGTATCCATCATGGAGACTAGTTGAGGACACCATAATACTAGATCGCCTCCGCTTTTTTGTCTTGATTAATACGTACCAGAGTCGCGCGTAGCTAGAACGGGTATGAAAAGTAGTAGGCGCGCCATGATTCCTCGCTCCTCATACCCGCATCGTATCCAGGGACCCAGTCGACCCAAATAACCACCTGTTGCATTCTTTGGAAGTCCCCATCGCGAATCTTCCCGCCTTTCCGCTTCCGCCAGCCGTGGGACTCGTACCCTGCGTCTCGTGTCGTTTTTGACGCGCTTGATCCAACCGTTTTCCTTTTCGCCTCCCGGACGGACCGGCGGACTCGGCGACCCAGAAAGAGTCCATTTTGGCCTCTTCCCGTCGCACTGGGAAATCCTTTTGGGTGATCGGGATAGAGCCGTTCCAGTTAGTCAATCATTCTATATGTTTTCAACCAGCACAAGTGGGAATTAGTTCAGAAGAAAAGCGCCTCAACCGAGTCATTGCTAAAGGTCGTTCGTGAAATTACAAAATGAAAAACAGAGATAAACTAGACAATGGGTTATAAAGTCTGCGTCTGCTAGAGTGTCCCAAAAAGAACATTGCCTTTTCCGACCTCGTCCTTTCATTTCACTAGATTCTTACTCTTACCTAGAGTTCAGTAAACAGTATGGGGGCATCTGTTCTCAATCCATTCATGTGTATACATTGACCAGTCTCTTCACTTTGGCAGTTTTCCGTACCATGTTAGTTAGGTCTTAGCTTTCTAGTACTCAAGTCTCTTCAACTTTCTTGGTTTTTTGATTCGCATAGATAGTGGAGTATCATGCAGTATCCCCGTATTTCCTGGACTATCTGGGAAAGGTTCAACCTGTCCATATGCACCTGTTCCCAATATCGAAGATATGGCTTCCTTGTCATCGCATTGCTTTTTATTTCCTGCAGAAATCATGTTTGCCTAAGAATCCTAGGCATCAAGATCTACGTGGGCTCATTAATTCCCTTTCTTTCCTTTTTCTGTCTTTACATTCGGCAATAATTGAGGAAAGAGAAGGGTACGAAGGGGTAAAATGGCAGACAGGTGTGTGCACGCCCTCCCACAGATAGTCGGTTTGCATCTTCAAAAACCGCAGCATTTTCACTACAGCCATGGGTCAACAGGCCCGACCCTGTTCTCCTCGCAGCTTCGGTTTCTTTGGTGTCTGATCATTACTGACAGTTGCATTGCGCTACTGTCAGGCATTGGAGACGCTATTGCGTCTTGCTTTGCTGACAACCACCACCATTCTTATAACAGACTAGTATCACCTTCTCGGTTTAAAGAGAGAGCCCTTCATAAGCTCTCTATTCCCCTTCCTCTGGGCTGCGGTATCTACCATACGCTCTATCTTCCGATTTGTTCAGGTCTTGTACTCCCGTTTTTGCTACCCAGATCTTCCATTGCACCTCAAGATACTCTGGCTGCGTTTTAAGTGTCTTCTGAATTGATTCGCGAGTTTTCCAACTTTATATCTATTGCAACTTACCAGCCCAGCCTGTTCGTTTTGGCTGATATTACGGGCCATCATCATTGGAGCCCCTCAGTGCTCAACGCTCACGTCATAACTGAAATCCCCGAGGCTCTCGTTTTCTTCCCTTTTCTATTTTCTTTTTTCGAAAAACCCGAAAAAGAAAAAATAATCCAAAAGGAAAAAAGAAAGTAAAAAAAAAAAAAGAATTTCTCTTTCCCCATTTTTTATTATTTTCTCAATTTTTATTTTATTTTATTTTTCTGGCCCTTATTTTATTTTTTACGCCTTCGCTTTTCCTCTTTGTCCCTTTATTTCCCTTCTATATTTTCCCTTACCTTCCCACCCCCTCCTTACCATCCTTCCCTGACCCTTGCTAAATTTGACCACCTCGACCTCTTAATCGTCTTCCTTCCCTCCACCGCCTCCCTCTTGCCCCCTGGTCTTTTTTCCTTCCCTCCCTCACCTATCCGCGCTCATCTCATTCCTCGGCTTCTTCCATCTGCGGATTAGAACCTCTTTTGGGTTTTCTTTCCCTCTTTTTAATTTCGCCTTCTCAACTCAACTCACTCCCTTTCCTGCTTTTTACTCTGTTCCCCCCTCATCTGGCTCTTCTGCCTCCCCCATTCTGGCTTAAGCGTGACCACGAGGCTATGCTAGCTTCGAAAATCACCCGACGGGAGCTGGAATTGTACTTGAATTGGTCGACTTTCTGACCGGCTTTGACTCCGCATCGACACAACCTGGTCGCCTTACACCGACACCTTTCGCCTCCGTACATACTTTACGTACTTACATACTGCTTACATACATACGACCGTCCATTCCTTGAGCCATACATACGAGCATACATACAGTCAGACAGTCAGACAGCATCATACATACATACGCTTTGCCCGTGCGGCCCGCGCTCTCCAAGGAACCTTACCATTTCCACCATCCCTGCCTGCCTACCTTTTCGCCTGAACGACCCGCGGGACCGTGACTTTCACCTCACATCATCCTGCATCTGTTCTCTGGCTTCTCTCCGTCGCCCGTTCCCGTCTTTTCTTTTTCCTTTTCCTTTTCCTTTTCCTTTTATAAATCAGCTTCTCCGGCACGCTCGCTCTACCAATGTCCGGCAATCCCAACGACCACAACGACCCGAACCGGCAGGGCCCGTACCGCAATCCCAACGATTTCAACGATCCTAATCGGCCGGGACAGTATCCGCCTCCACCGCAATGGAACACTAGTCAACCTGAGCAGCCTGGTGATGGTCAACAACCTCCTCACTATCCGCCAACCTCACAATATCCTGTATGTTGCCCTCTGCCTTCATTTCACATTGTCGCATATATGCATCATATCTTTTATTTTCAATTATCCCTCATTTGACCTCGATCTCCGCTGGCCTGCGATGCGGCTCTTACTCGAGTGTTAAAACGGTGCATTGGCTAACCTTGATGCTCTCTTCACCCCATTAGTATCCTCCGGCCTCGTACCCTCCACCAGCTTCATACCCCCCAGCTTCCTATCCACCACCAGATCACCAATACCCGCCTGCACCTGGACAGTATCCGCCTCCGCCGAACATGGCAACTATTCCCCCTCAGTCGCAGGACCCCTACCGCATGGCGCCCCCTCCCGGCTCCTACCGCCCCCCAGACATGTACAGCGCACCCCCTCCGCCTCAAGTAGTCTATCAAGCTGCTGCTCCTCGTCAGCGGACTGCCATCGCGTGTCGCTACTGCCGGAGACGGAAGGTACGTTTTGTCAAATGGCTCCCTTTATGGCAGGCCCGTATTATACTCGGTCAGAACTGACCTTTCTTTTTTGGAATCAATAGATCCGTTGCTCGGGATTTGAAAGCTCTCAGGATGGACGCTGCAGCAACTGCATCCGATTCAACCAGGAGTGCATGTTCACGCCAGTCTCATCCCAGGCGCAAGCCTTTGTCCCTGCCCATGCCGCCTACCCCCACCTACGGAATGCCCAGAACCAAGGCCGCGGACCGCCTCCCGGAGGAGTGATGCTCTATGGTGCTCATGGCCAGCCTCTCCCACCACAGCAGCAACCGGAGAGTACACTTCCATCGGTGTACCCCCCTCAATACGCAAACGCTCCTCCTCTCCCCAATGGAGCTCAGGATCATGTGAGTAGCACGAGCTTTTTATTGCGATCCAATTGTTTCTCTGGGTACTAATTTCCTTAATAGAGGCCTGTTGGTCGTCGAGGATCAGGCTCGGGATTTGAATACCCTGATCCCACCAATCTCGCCCCGGTGACACCCGCTACATCTGCATCTGGCTATCAGACGTATAGTGCGACAAGTCCATACTATCCGCCGCCGCCTCAACATGAGCGACGTACCTCTCCGCAATCGACTTATCCCTATGATGGTCGCCATTCCTCGTCTCCTCACAGCTCCCCGTATCCTCCTGTGAACCCCAACCAGACTCCTCCCCCCACTTCCACCCCCGGGGGTTCATCTCGCGGCGGATTGAATGTGCGAGACATGTTGAATCCTGGAGAAGGTCAGAATCAGGGCCAAGGCCGCTCTAGCACTGATAGTGACATGCTCAATGCATTGAACCGTCGGGGCCTAGGCCAATAGTGCTGCGACTATGCCGACATGACATCCAGCCAACAGGTTGGCTATGATGGGGATTAGGGTGGTTTGACGGATATGAGTTCGAAAGATTATGGAAATGCAGCGGAAGGGGGCACGTCCAAGTTCGTCGATGGCTGACGCGCAAAGCTTGTGTGCTGGTCACACGTCCATGTGATAGTCGTGGTAATATTCATCCCATGCTGCTCGTTTTGCAGCCATTGCCGCACGTTCATTGGGGTACGAAAGAGCAAGAGGAAGCGAGGACAACGAATTCATGTGCAATGCCTGGACGGAGATCACACCTTTTTAAATCACGCCGACTGTTGAAGCGCAACGCAATGCCTTGAGTGAATAGAGGTCCAAGGAAATCAGGATATAAAAACAATCGAAAAGGAGAGGAGGCAAAAATGGAATTTTTGTTTTCAGCTACGAGGTCATGGAAACGAGACGCAAGAGAGTTACGAGCTGCACGATTCAAGTGCGAGGGTGTCTGTCTTGTTGACTATTCTATACAGTCATCTGCGCATGTGGATGTCGATGTTGCAGCGCTCAATCGGCAGCTACAGTGCCTTGACAGTCATCATATCGCACTCTGTTCTTTTCATCATCTACAACTTTTCCCTTTCCGAAGACACTGTCACTGGCTATAAACTACTTAGGGCGACCTACTAATTTCGTTTTTCTTGTTGGTCTTTCCGTTCGTTTTCACTACCAGGTCCAGTTCGAAGCTCTCAGAATTGTCAAGCAAAGTGAAATCTACACTCTGCGTCCTTCGATCAGTGACCGCATCTTGGAAACAGGCGGTTATGCTGGGATTACCTGGATGACGAGCTTTGATCGGACGCTCCAAGTGTCGGCAATGTCTATCTTTGCGTTAGCCATCACGAAACGAGTCATTGGTGCGAATATCTGCTGCATTTCCATTCCTTCCGAACAAGATGTGTGATGAGGCTTTCTTTCTTAAATTTTATTGGCGGTGGCTTTGTCTTTTCCATGTGTTTCACTACTTTCGGGAGGCTATCTGTCCTGCGTTCATGCTCTTGTTTCCGAGTTTTGTTGTCTGCTCTGAAACGGCTTGTTTTGGGACGGTACTTTGCCATCATTCGCGAAAAAGGAGGTCATTCTGGTTTCAAATTTTGATGTTTTTGCTTTATTCGTATTATACTTGGGAGGCTGTCTGATCAACTTTTACAACTTGCAATCACCATGCGTTCTGTTACATGCGAATTGTTTTGGTGCCTATTTTGATTTGTGCATATTATTCGTTGTTTTCCCGCGTTACCTACCTCATATAGTCCAGTATCAAACACCTACGTATCTTGTTTATTATGTATCTTTCCTTCCATATAGGCCATTGTAAGTAAGACTTGGTTCTTGGCTTGCCAGTTTAGGCAATCGATTATCCATGATCCTGTATTGTAATCTAACCACCAGTATTGCCTGGAACCAGCATTCCTTACTTGCTATCTTAGTTGATTTCCCAGACCTGGATGACTACATAGACGACCGAAAAAGCACAGCATCCGTCCATCATCTGCCCTCACCCATAATAGTAGTATCGTACATAGCGAGCTACTATTTACCTCCAATAGCCCTCTCACAGAAACAGTCCCCAACTATCCTCGAAGCTGAGGAGCATATAGTCCAAAAGAAGCAGGTTAAGCTCTACATACAGGCCTTGGAGTAAAATTATTGAACTAAGCTGTAATTATTAGAGCTAATAGTGCTAAAAGCAGGTATGTATACAAAGTACTGGCAGATAGCTCGCTGGCTGGCTGGCTGGCATATAAGAAAAAAGAACAAGTGAAAATGGTGTGTTTTTGGTTTTTTTTGGGGCGGGGATGATTGTAGACTGTCAGTAATTGACTTAGGTAGGTAGGTAGGGAGGGAGGGAGAAAAGTGACTAGCGAGCGTTGGTGTCAAGTTATAGTACTTTAGTCCGGTTCGTTTGCTTTGAATAAAATTCAATTAATGGAGTGACAGGAGACACGAGACACGAGAGAATATGGAACGGTAGACGCTGGAGTAGAATACAAACTATGAAGTGGAAATGAAGATCACGAAGGAAGGAAATGTTTCAGAAAGAGTGACAGAAGTGAGAAGTGTTAGACAGATAAGGAGAAGTTGAAGATCAAGCGAGTGTTCTTGTTTGGTAGATATTTGGTTGGGAATGGAACCTGAGGAGGTCAAGAGGGTTGGGGAGACAGAGATTATGAACATGAAGTCCGGAAAGAGATTTGTTGAGGGTATATGCAGTAATATTTGAAGGGGCCTGGTAGATGGGTGTAGAAGGCTTGCAAGATCCAGATGGTCATGATAGTCCAGAAACAGTTTAGGGGAGTAGTATGGGGATAGGAATCAAAAGGGTGGGTAGGGATTATCTGATCTTCAAGGGTTCGGGTAGTCGTCCAAAATTCGAACCATCTCTTTTGCTCGCGCAGGATCTTCCATGAGCATGTGCTGGCCCTTCATGAGGAGATAGAGTGTGTCGACCACCTTGTGGAAGGACGATGCTGCTCCCCGCTCTTGCTTGAAGCGGACGAGGCTGAGGTTCTCCTGTCGACCTTGTTCTAGATATGTGCAGAATTCAGCGGAGAATTGGACCGGTCGAAGATTTAGCACTGTAAGTCAGATGGGTTAGTTGGGCTTCTTCCATGATGATCTGATCCGTGTGGTCTAGAGACGTACAATTGACTTCACCCACGCTTCCGTAGATGACTCGTTTGTCCTTGTCAAGGTAAACCTCCTCCATACCCCATTTCTTCCACTCACGCATTGTCTTATGAATATATTTCCGAGCTTTGGTGGTTGATGTGTTGAGAGCTATCACTCGAGTAGCAGGCTTGAGCTGGAACACGCGTGCGAACCAGTTCTGGCTTTTTCCTCCACCGCGCGGAGGAGGTGGAAGAGGTTTGCCATCGAATTCGGTGTCTGTTGTGTTACCAGTCTCGATGTTCTCGTGGAGCAAGACATTGGTGTCTGCAGTGTCAAAGCCTGTACTTGGTGATGAGTTTCCTGTTTTGGCTATATGGGTAGACAAAACTAACCTGTATCCTGGTTCTGCGATTCCTTGCTTGCTCGTCTATTCATTAGTCTTCTGAAGAATCCGCCTTTAGGCTTCGTCCGCGACGGCTTTCCATTGAAGTGACTATCTCGCTGGGTGTTGGCCTTCGCTTCTCTCGAGTCACCTTGGTGGTGCCTGATCACGGTAGCTGAACTCGGTTGGATTTGCGGGACGTCGCTGGAATCTCTTGTAGTGTGATCCCCTGCCATCTGAGCCCTGTTCTGGAACCAGGACCATTTCTTGTTGTCTGAAGAACGAGTGCCGTTACGTCTGGGTGATCCTGGCGTTTCTTCAATGGGGTCGAGTTCGCAGGGACCCCGGTCTTGGCCGGGGTTCAGGGAAGCGAACTTGCGTGCAGATGCTGCAGCCTGCTCTTTCTCCGCATCCGTTGTGCACACGTCTGGTGTCTCTGGAATGTCTTCGGGAATAGAACTACGGTTCTTTCGAATGTTCAAGTCCTTGGTAGGCCCCATCGACTGCAGAGAACTATGAGGCACCATGCGAACTGTTCTCTTTCCATCGCGGTTGGAGCGGCCAGGATGCTTCTGGGGAGTTTGCAGCACGGCTTTCCCTTGGTCTTCTGCTTTGTAACCAGCATTGATTAGAGGGTTGGGTGCAGTTTCCGGGAGTTTGGGTGCTTCTGGTGGCTGCGGGGTTTCACTTGACGACCGGACAGATTGCTCCCTCAGCGCACTGGGATAAGGTATGGGATTATCCCGCCGCTCTCGTCGTTTCGTTTCATCCTGCTCAATCAGACGATCTAGGTGTGCAATGATCGGCTTCAAGTAGCCCGGGATGTTCCCTGAGTCGTCCTTAGTTGAATGCTGGATCAGTTTACGACGAGTTTCAGTAAGCTCTGCGGCCGTGTATGATCGTGGCGACGATGCCGCTGGGGGTGCCGTGCGTGTGGTTGAGTGTCCTTTGGAAGCAAGCTGTTGATAAGACACCTCAGGGCTAGCAATTGACAAGGATGTTGCAGGCGTCTCGGATCCAATGCATGTGCTGGCGGTGCAATTCGTGGACAGTGAGCTGCCGTTGAAGGCCTCCTCGCATATTTGACTAAGTTCATAGGACACCTTCCGCGCATCGTCTTTCCAAATGATATCGCTATTTCGCACCTTTTTCATCTGAGGGCAATTCCTGACTGTAACACCAGCTCCACGCACAACTGTGGGCTGAGCGGGCAACGATGGGCTCTCTTGTGCGTCGGAAAATGGATCATCGTCGTAATCAGAGATTACAGTGCTTTCACTTGCATCAAGCCTGATATTGCGGGCTTTCGGCCGCGGTGGCCTCGCTTTGGTGGATAGTACTGAGCCTTGCGAGCGGTTCCTTTTGTGGTGGAAGGATACATTACGTTTGTAGCTGGCAGAACGCGGCGTTGATGCGACATAAAGAGCCCGACGAGACCCAGACAACGAGGTCTTTGAATGGAATGATTTGACGGAATTGACCTTCATGCGCTTATCACGCATAAGCACGAATGGTGAGCTCGGTGGACACTCGGGCACCTGAGGCACCTGGGGCACCTCAAGATCCGTGTTCTTTGCAGCTGGCCTCGGTTGAGGAGCCGTTTCTGTGGGTTCTTTTGCGGTCTTATCGACATCGACAATGAGCCCATTACGGTAGACCGTGATCTTCGCACACTTCGCTTCTCTTGGGGGGTATTTTCCTTGTGGAGACCTGAACGGGTCATAGCTTCGCGTCGTTGCACAGGACTTTGGCTCTTCATTATACTTGGTCCTTATTCCTGTTTCCTTCACGGGTGGAAATTGCGACCACTTCGCTGAGCTGCCCTTCGCACGTCGAGTTCGGCGACTCGGTGTACGCGGTGCCACTGATATATGGTGATAGTCGCTGGCGGAGTGCTCGAGAGTCTGTCCTTGATAATTCTCCAACTGTTCGTTTCTAAATTTTACCAAAGCATTGTAAAACAGGCGTTGATGGCTCGGGCTAGTTGTTCGATCAATCAGCTTCAGGTTCACTCGCTCGGCATCCTCCATGCAGGCGGTACATGTATCATAATCAGGGACATGGCTTGACTTACGTAGGGTCTAAGATCCTCTTCAGTATTGCTTCGGGAGTAGCATCATGCCATAGTGTCTGCAGGTTCCTCAGAAGGTCGATGTCGACGTCTTCCTTGTTGGTGATGGGTGGGCCACAGTCTTCGGGCATAAGCGGCGGTGCAGGGCCGATATGATAGTCCACTGCCCCTTGGTAGCGCTTCTCATACTTCCTAATCAGAGGGTGTCTCCATATTTCGCTCATGCTAATTCGATGGTCTGGGTTCTTCTCCAATATGCGTATGATCAGGTCCGCCGCTTCACGACTAATATTCGGAGGAATTTTAAACTCTCCTCGCCTCACCAGCTCTAGTGTGCGATGGGTGTCATCTCCGTCGAATGGTAGAAAGCCTGTCAGTAACGCATATAAAATTATGCCGCAGCTCCATATATCTGCCTTGTCACCGAGATATCTTTTCCCTCCGACGATCTCCGGGGCAGCATAATGTGGACTTCCGCAAGACGTGTCTAGCCAGCGATGCGATGGCTGGAGAGCGGCCATTCCAAAGTCAGCGAGCTTCACATTGCCCTGCGCATCGAGAAGTATGTTTTCTGGTTTCAGGTCTCGGTGACAGATGTTGAAGCGATGGCAATAACCCAGGCCAGCAATTATCTGGCAAAATATTCGTACCGCTTCGTCCTCTCTAAGAGGGGCGTTCTCAGAGACGTACTCGAACAACTCGCCCCCTTCAACGAACTCTAATACTAGGTACCTACGTAGTGTTAGCCATAATTTCCAGTTGCGTCCAATGCCACCTACAATTCGCCCCGGTTCTCCCACACATCATAGAGATTGATCACATTTGGGTGTTCGATCAGTTTCATGATGACAACCTCGCGCTCCAGCCCGGATGGGATCTGGCGCGGCCCTATACCTCCGATACGATTGGCCTTCTTATCCATTCCCGCAATACTCGCACTCTGCGTTATGGCGGCGGATTTCTTTGAGACGATCTTGATCGCAGCCAACTGCCCCGTTACTGAATGCTTCGCCAGTCGCACGCGGCCGCTCACCCCCGTGCCGAGTGTCCTTCCGAGTTGCCATGGTCCCACATGTGTCTTCCTCTTGCCTTGGTTGGTGATTATTGACGCCGCTGACATTACAGAATTGCGGTTAGTCCCTGGCTGTGAGCCTGGAGCCGGGCTGCTGCAGTTGACATCGGCATTCTTTGCGGACAGAGGGCTTGTCACAATGGACATCGGCACCGGCGATGTCATCTGTTGCTGTGGTTGTCTCAGTGGCTCCTCTCGCTCTGTAATCGGGGCAAGGCATTTGTTTACTCTTGCTGAAGCATCCGTCAAGGGAGTCCGCATTGTGTCGGGGGTAAGAAGAGCTGTATCCCCGTCCATCTGCCCCGTTTATCGAAGAAAGAGTCAATCAAACACGCGTCTGCATATAGAAGATTCCCGTATAGGCCTCGATTCTTCTATGCCGTGCTGTCATATTGTTAGAAATCAAAAGGATATTGACGCGTATACATCAGAATGGAATGACTGGTACATACAGCTGACCAGCTCTCTCTATAGGTTCGGAGTAGTCACTCGCGCGTAGTCCTAGGTAACGCGCACGTCGTGCAAACAGCGAATACTTGAGGTTGTTGTTTGAATCGCCTATTGTCTGATCCTGCTGTTCTGTTAGTACTCTTCTGCCTGTTTGCCCTTTCAGGTCCCCATGTAGTGCTATGAGGGAAAGGCAGTCAACCACAACGCTTGCGGATCAAACCAACTCCAGACTGCTATGGCTAGGTGAGAGGGGCATAGGAGTGCAGATGAATCTCCTAGAGTACCGGTAATCTCCTGGAGGCATGCTTTCCTGAGCCATGCTCCGCGGTCAAAGCGAGCAAACATGGTTTTTCAGCCGGGTTTGCTACATACCACGGCGAGGAGAGTCTGTGGAATGACCATCGAGTGTTTGTTTTGCTCGGAATTCCTTTCCACCCACCCGGGCATTCGGCAATATTGTGTGAAGTACAGTTTGGAATGCGGAAATTAACCCGGGCTAATTATGCTTTTCTCTTGCCAGTACTGCTGACTACAAGAAGTTGAAATAAAGGAATCCTCTATCTATCTCATTGATGCGACTCATCTCAGGTAATGGATGAGGTGATTATGATGATATTCATTTTTTGCAGGCATAATACTTTGATACCGCATTGACTAATCTTTAATTTCGATGGTGGTATCTAATTCCATTAAATTCCCCGGATGTGATCGAAACCCCTAGGCTCATCGAAATGCGACGTCATTGCAGACACCGGTGCGATAAAGAGGTGGCTGGGATCTTTGGCAAGTCAAAGGGACATGCATTCCCCCCTTCGTGGCGTGAAGACAGGGGTTTGCACGCCGCTCGAGTCTGTCGAATACTCCAGACAGGCTTACTTTGCCCCTTGTTTACACTAAGTTTAAGTCGCAAGGATAGGGATAACTGTTGCCCTTCGCTCTTGCATTGCGCTTCGGAGATTTTATCTGCGGTCTCTGCATGTGTAGACGCAGGCCACTCGTCGACTGTCTTATCGCATGATCATCTAACAACCGTCGATAAGGGCATAACACCTTCTAATATGTTGATAGATTTCCTTGTCTGACGGGTATCTGAAGAGGACGGAGAAACCGAACTTGGAATCCTGCGGTACTTCTCGCATCCGACATACCATGGGAGCATCATGAATCGCCATAACTCCGACACTTTGCTTTTCTTTTTATTCAGGGAATATAGAATATAGGGAGTATTGCTAATGCAGTAAATGACAGCGGCCTTATGGTGTGTAGAAATTAGAAGTAGCCTTTCACCAATGTTCCTCTCCAATTTCGACGTCTTCGACATCTACACCGTCCACAAACCATCTTCCCTCTCCATTTCCATTAGGCCCGATGAGCACATCGTTGCCGCTCATCATTCTCTTACACATCTTTCCTGTCTCTCGATCGAAGGTCCAGTCTTCAAGGCCATAGCACCGCTTCCAACGCAGACCATCATCAATATCTTGATACTCGTACCAAAACTGTACTGCGATGCGGTTGTCGGTGAAGGAGAACAGTTCCTTTCGCAGCTTATAATTCTCTTCCCTCTTCCACTTCGCAGTCAGGAACTCAACGATTCCCTCTGTTCCGGAGAAGAATGACGTCCGATTGCGCCAGATACATGTTGGCGTATAAGCCTGTGCAACTCGCACGGGATCCCTACATGTAAAGCAGGTGAGTATGCGAGCAAGCAGTAGAGCAGAAACAGTGTGTGAGTTTCAGCTGCTGTTAAGAATGCCGTGGGTTATCAGAGAGAAATGGAATTAAATCACTGCAGGGCGTGAAGAATGGGAGACACGAGGTAAAGGCCTCGATTGGACGCAAGGGGTGAAAATCTGAGTTCACAGCAGACTCTAACCCCTCATACCAGCGTCGAAAATGACGACAGGGTGCAAGATACAGGATTCTAGATCTCCCAGAGGGATACATGTCGTGGAGGGAGGGAGTTCTTACTTGGTGTTCCATAGGTTCTGAGCTGCCTTGACCTTCCTCCAAGCCGATTCTTCGGTGAAAGGGGGCTTGATGTCAGCCATCGTATAGTAGTTTATTTTGATATAGAAGAGATGAAGAAAACACAGATCCGTTGGACAGATTTGGGATTAAGCAGGAAACGTGAGATAGTAGTCAGTGAGAGAGCTTATTATTGACTCATTGTACATAAGCCGTTACACGTCACGTGGGGGCTAGTGGTCGTTGAGATGTTAGCGCTGCATTAGAGGCTTCCGCTCAGGATGATCAGTAACTGTCATATCATCAGCGTGTAAATTACATTATATTGAGTAACTAGTAATGTTGCTGAATATGATTGGACTCGATCGTTTGAGTTCAAATCATTGATGTGGCGACCCACTCATACTACCAGGCTATTACTACTAGTAATCTTCTCGTAGGGCGGATATATATATTCATTGGATCACTGCCAGTTTACTACTAACTGCTACTACAAATCACTTTTTGGGAAAGTGTGTAATTGATGTCATGGTTTATAGGGATGAGCATCATAAATCATAGCCTGCTAATTCTACGAACAAAATATAATATTTACCAGTTATCATCGGCTTTGTCGGGTTAACTAAAGTCTGTGGAAGACTACTATCCCCGCACTTGTTGCCTACAGGGATAGCATCCTGCGAGGTACTTACTCATCAGCTTATCAGCCTATCGGTAAAGGTCGCAAGGAGCGCAAGGCTATTCCAGGTTAGGAAGGCCCGCGGCACAATGCGATCCTTCCAGAGTAGGAAGCTGCCTGGCATGAAGTAATCGCAGGGCTAAGCCGTGCAGCTACTGAATCTCACCACTCGGACCTGATTTTTGCATCCGGCTTACAAGGGTATGTCATCTCAATATACTCTAGCGGACGGAAACTGGCTACTAGTGCTTTGAGCTGACTCGGCCACTATAAATATGCGGTCTTATGCTCGTCAAGGACAGGCAAATGCTCTGACCGTCAGAAAGTGAGCAGGATTAGCAACGTTGCGACCTCCTCTCCAGAGCGCCAATCTATTAAGCAAGCGGTCTATCATACCATTAGATCCAAGGCATTCGTACAATGTCTCTCGATTCAAAATTGCCTGGCCACCGACCTGGTATGGCAGTAGTGCCATCTAGGCCACACCCTGTCAATGGAAAAGCCATTCGAATCCTCCTTTCCCTCGCTCTGGTCGCGTTTGCTATCATTCACATATGTGGCGGACTTGACAGAAGCAAGAGCGTTGAACAACAGCTGCCAAGTCCAACCCCCGATAAGTCCTTTGAATGGGAAGATGTAGGTGAATGTATCAGGCTGGGATGTAATGTTCTAATATACGCTATCAGATTACCCCCACCGAACAACTCATATACCATCCATGCTTTGACCATCACGAATGCGCTCGCTTGTCGCTTCCAATGAACTGGAATCGAACGGATGGCGAAGGGTCAAAGATTGCCTTGGCTGTTATCAAAGTTCCTGCAAAGGTACCTGTCACAGATGCGCGATATGGTGGGGCCATTCTTTTGAACCCAGGTATGCAGAGCCATATTACTACTCTAAAAGGTTTCTTCTGATTGTAGAATAGGTGGTCCTGGTGGATCCGGAGTGAGCTTGGTCTTTAGATATGGGAAAGCTATCCAGACCATCGTCGACTCCCCAGAATCGCCAAGTGCAAACTCGGCGGGCGGAAAGTATTTTGATGTTGTTAGCTTTGACCCAAGAGGGGTTAATAATACTAAACCCAATTTATCCTGCTTTCCTGACTCCGCGACGAGGAAAGCGTGGTTACTGCAGTCAGAGGCAGAGGGTCTACTTGGAAGTTCTGAAGGAGTCTTCAATACTCGCTGGGCAAGGTATGAAGCTTTTGGTATGAGTTGCAATCAACAAGGAGTCACAGCGTCAAAGGATGGAGAATGGATAGGAAAATTTATGAATACGGCTCCTGTGGTGGCGGACATGGTTGAACTCGTAGAGCGCCATGGAGAATGGCGTGAACGAGAAACAGAGCGACTACTTTCGACGGTTTTTAACACTTCCCCTGCTGGACCAAATTTGGACGCCGAGAGAGTAGGTCTGCACAATAGCTGGAAAAAAGGGGAGGAGAAGCTGCTCTACTGGGGGTTTTCCTATGGGACAATCCTGGGTTCCACGTTTGCGGCTATGCAGCCCCATCGCATACACCGTGCTGTGATAGACGGAGTCTGCAACGCTGATGATTATTACGCAGGCAACTGGCTTACCAACTTACAAGATTCGGATGCAGCATTCGATAAGTTTTTCGAGTATTGCCAAACAGCTGGGCCCTCATCATGTCCGTTCGCGCTGGGCGGAGATCCCGAAGACCTCAAATCTCGTTATGAGCAACTTTTGACCAATCTTACATCGAGCCCTATTGCCGTACCTCCCTCAGGAAACAGGGGACCAGAGATTATAACCTATAGTGACGTGAAGTCATTGGTTGTGCAGGCTCTCTATACTCCTTTGAAGTCGTTCGATCTAGTGGCCCGGTTGTTGACTGAGCTCGAGCAAGGTAACGGCTCTTCCTTCGCTGATCTCAAGTACGAAGCCAAACAATGGCCAGCACCTCCTCCCTGCGATTCCTCCAAACAGTACAAAGTACCTGGCGAGAGCGATCAGGAGGCCTCGAGGAGTATTCTATGCACAGACGGTCCAGGCCTCGACGGAACCGCCAAGGAGGAGTTCCGGAGCTACTGGAATAGGCTCCAGGGACAAAGTAAGGCGGTTGGAGATTTTTGGGCTGAGATTCGCATGTCGTGTGTCAGAATGGAGACGCGGCCTGAGTGGCGCTATGATGGTACGTCTAAAAAGCACATGTCATCACCGCAATAGAAGCTGACAAGTATGTGTTTTTCAAGGGCCCTTTACAGGCAACACATCGCACCCGTTGCTATTTATCGGAAATACTTATGATCCAGTAACTCCGCTCCGGAAGTAAGTTATGCTCACTCGATCCTGACAGACTTCGAAGCACCAACTGACGCATCCGCAGTGCTCACACTATGGCGCGTGGATTTCCTGAGTCGATAGTGTTAGAGCAGAACTCCGTTGGAGTGAGTACTCTTTTCTGTCCCTCCCCCAAACCTGTATGCAAGACGACTAACATTCCAATGTCGCAGCACTGCACACTGAGTGGTCCATCCTTGTGTACCGCGAAAGCAATACGCCAGTATTTCCAGACCGGAGAGCTACCAGGTCCCGGAACTGTCTGCCAGGTAGAGGAGCTTCCCTTTCATCTTGCCGGATATGAGAGAAGCCAGATAATGTCGCCAGGGGACACGGAACTGATGTCCGCATTGCACTCGCTGAGCGAGGTGCGCCATCTGCTAGGCGCGTGAAGAGGGTGAATTATTGCAAGGGAGCGTTGCAGTTATTAATCTTTACATCATAGGAACTGGCTAGAATGCCATTCATAGCAACTTGCCCTGTATCTCGACCAAGAGCATGAATAACACATTACATCAGCAAAGTCTGTCGAGTATACTAGTTACATCACCTGCGCTCAATTTAAGAAGTATTGCCTAGACTACTAGAATTATTAAGCCGACCTTATCGAAGCATTTGCAGACAAACCCCTGTCCATCGTCAGGGGCAAGACAGGCATTTCTTCTAGAACCCGGAGGATGTATAATCGCGGTGGGGAAGATCATCCCAAACCATTGCCCCAGACTCGCCTACCTTAGGTAATCCATACAAATGCCGGGGAAAACCAGCGAGGTGTTATTCATCACGGCGTTGGATCGGCTTCTGCGCGGTGCACCATCATAATCATTAGCAGCCAAGCGCGCTCAGCCACCGAAAGTCGAGTTCCGTGATCGGGGGTCGACCTGGCTTTCTATGGTTGGTTGGCCAATCTTATCAGATGCTCGGATACCAGGACCCGTGCCTACCAAGTATGCAGTAAGCAGTCGAATGGGGTCCGACACAAGCCGAGGATCACCACATCATACTCTACCTAAGTGGCAAGGCGGGATATGGTATTCTTATCCACGGTAACAATGTGCGAAATGTTTCTCCCTGGCTGAACCAAACTAATTGCCTGGAAGAGAGTTTGAAGAGGGAAATCTTCGGAAAGTCGTAAATCATAGTGGCGGTCACCAAGCACCAGCACACCAAGGTCCCTGAGGATATTTGCGGTGGTGGATTGGTTACGTATTGGCTGACTTGGCAGAGGAAGAGCAGGGCGGTGGTGGGTGGAGACTATTGATTGGCCCGATATTGGCTTAGGTGGGGCTGTTTTCTCGTGATTCGGGTTTTTAAGCCAATAGGAGGGGAGTTTGGGTGCTGGGATGGAGGGGCACTGCGTAGATGCCTGAGGTGTCGAGGTGGGATGGTTTCCTCAGTACTACTATCTTTGGAGACAGAGATAAGCTTGTTGGCGGTGGTATACGCTAAAGTTAGGAGGCATTGGGTTGGTGATACTGATACACGTTAAGGATCTGGGTAGATTGAGTGGTAATTCTGGTGAGTAGAGGTGAACAAGCAGATTTGTGTTCATATCGGATTTACGGAAGACCTCTGCTTTTGGTTCTACGTAGAGGCTTGATCTGCAGCGTTGGTTGATTTGTAGATGCCAATGGCTATTTACTAAGCATATCGATAGAGAATCTATCTAGAATGAGGGCCAAATTGGAGGTAGAGTGGCGTCAGGATCAGGGGTTGTACGGGAAGTAACCAAGCTTTAGTTGTACTGATGCAGACTCGGATGAAGTGCCGGCTCCTGATAACCAGCAATTGATAGTTGATACTACATCGGGAGAATGATGAGCCTGGGGAATTAATGCTCTTCTGATAGCAGTGCTAATTAGCTATAGAATTGATGCCCAATTTATGGGGGTGATTGAGGATGGCCCGGAAATGCAAGCCAGACAGACCCATGATTAAACCCTGCAGAGAGAAGCCACCTGTAGAGGGTATGGGATATCTGATCCGGAAACACATTCCAGGAAGGAGTAGCAGCAACAACAGCAAAGACTTGAACATCGAATCGAGGGCCGATTTGTCAACGGGGACGGTCTAGATATGGTGGCCAGTGGACGGGAATGGCGCAGACCCGAAAAAGGAATGCGTTGGTGGGGTCACTCAGTCTCGGGCGGTCTTCTTGATAATACAGTTCCCCCTCCAAAGCCCTACCAATCGAAGAGTTTCGGTATCCTTCTGCTTCGGATCACCTCATGGCGCCGTGGGCGGGCCGTCGCCGCGTTATTTGTTGCCCTTGACACAGGAACCATTCATTCAACTAAGAAGCTAAGGTCGAATTACCCGCCACAGGCTCGCTGCCCCCGTTCCGTCTCCCCTTCTTCCCTATATAACCAACCTTCCATTCCCTTCCCAATCTTCTTCACTCTCACAACTCACTACTACTACTCAATCACTCATACCTCTTTCTAGTACACCTTACTACCAACTAATCTCATTCACAATGTCTGGCCTCAACCCCGGTGACAGCTTCCCCGCTGACGTTACCTTCTCGTGAGTATTCTCTTCATTCCTCTATTCTCTCTCTTTCTTTGCCCCTCCCCCACCGTCTTCCGCCTTTCCGGTTGCTGGTGTCTTTCGAGCAGCAACGCAACCATATATACTGTGGTCACCATACACTATTACTAGTACATTCACTAACATTTTTATCTCCTTCCACAGCTACATCCCCTGGTCCGAGGAGAAGGGCGAGATCACCTCTTGCGGTATCCCCATCAACTACTACGCCTCCAAGGAGTGGGCCGACAAGAAGGTCATCCTCTTCGCCCTCCCCGGTGCTTTCACCCCCGTCTGCTCTGCTCGCCACGTCCCCGAGTACGTTGAGAAGCTCCCTGAGATCCGCGCCAAGGGTGTCGACGTTGTTGCCGTCCTTGCCTACAACGATGCCTACGTCATGAGCGCCTGGGGCAAGGCCAACCAGGTCACCAACGACGACATTGTAAGATTCCCTTCTTCTTTTCTCATTTGTCCTTCAGACCAATGATACTAACTGCTTCTAGCTCTTCCTGTCTGACCCCGAGGCCAAGTTCTCCAAGAGCATCGGCTGGGCCGACGAGGAGGGCCGCACTGGTCGCTACGCCATCATCATCGACCACGGCAAGGTCACCTACGCCAAGCGTGAGCCCGCCAAGAACCACCTCGAGGTATGTTTTCTACCCTTCTCATGTCCAGGTGAATAGCTACTAACCATCATTGCAGTTCTCGAGCGCCGAGGCCGTCCTCAAGCAGCTGTAAACGTGTCATTAAAAGACGATAGACATGGCAGGCGTCCGATGATAGATAGCGTTGACATTGATATTCTGGTGGGATAATGCGTTAGAAATTAGACAGAGCCACTAGATAGAAAGAAAATCAACGCGCTTACGAAGCTACGACAACATTGTTCATATTGTAATATGATGTCAGTACGTAGTATACTTATGTTTGTCCAACGATCATCTAAAATAATCTTAAGAGTAAAGAAAAAAAGGCAAGAAAATATACAAAGAGAAAAACAAGCTACCTGTCCACCCCTAGCTAAGACTGATCTACAAGAAACCCCGAACATCAAAGCGTCAACAAGAACTAAAGTACTAGGATTAAACTTGAGCATTTAACCGTCAGCCAACGATCATTGGTTGCGTTGCCATTTTATTGCGTCGGAGTGGCTGCTCCCATCACTAGTTTCTCAATTCTGTCGGCCGGAAAACTGAAATTCGACGACGGACGACGGAACAGACACCGCGCTAAACCAAACCAGACCAAATCAAACCATTCCATCATTTCATTTCATTCCAGACCCGGACCTATCTGCAGGGATCTTGGAAAGCTTCCATCACCTCCAACAAATTCTCCTTTCCTACAAAACCTAAATGATAAATTAATTTCTTCTCCTTCGCACAAAACACAACACAATCACCGGCCATCATGGCCTCCCACCCACCGAAGCGCAAACCTGCTGCTCCCAACTTCTCCGCCGCGGCCGCCCGCAAACGCCAAAAAACATTCGATGCGCGCTCGCTCGCCGTGCAGGCCGCCGACGCGGCACTATCAGCCTCCGGCGAACTAGATGTCGCTGCGTATGTGGAAGCAAGAGAATACGAGATCCGGTCGCTGGAGTCGGGGATTCAGCGATCGAAGAATGCGTTGACGAGTCGGGCGTTCCAGAAGGTGCCGAGGTCGTTGAGGAGACGGACGGCGAGTCATAATGTGAAGAGGGTGCCGAAGAGGTTGAGGGCTAGGGCGAGGAGAGAGGTATATATTCTTTTATTTACCAAGATTACTCTCAATGGGGTTCAGTGAAGATTCTAATCTGTGACTATGAATCTGTGTACAGATGATTGAAGATAATACCCCCACGGTATCATCACGAACCCGCAAACCGACCGAACAAATGCGCATTCGGCTCGAAACTGCCCGGCGACTACAGAATCTGAACGCGAAGACGAAAGCCAAGCGCGCGGCCGTGAAAGCTCAGCGAGATAAAGAGGTCCGGAAGTCGTTGGAAGAATCCGGTAGTCATGCGTATGAGATTGCGCCGCGGGTGCCGAAAATCAAGAAGAATAAATTGTCGAGGCCGAATCCGCCGGAAGCGAGGTTCAAGAAACGTCAGCAGTGCAAGACTTGGTTGCCGACTCATATGTTTCATGCGAAGAGGGCGCATATGGCTACTTCTAAGGATCCGTTGTGGCGGTTTGCGGTGCCGTTGTCGCCGACGGAGAAGAGTTATCGGCCGACACATCGTGCGAGGGGGTCCAGGGGTGCCGTGGCGTGGGATATGAGTTATTTGGCGACGGTGCAGTTGGAGGGGTCGGTGGGGGCGATTGAGGGGGTGTTGAGGGCTGTTGGGGTTGAGGGGGAGAAGGCGTGGGGAGGGAAGGGGAGGAAGTGGAGGGCTGGCACGAGGGGATTGCGGGCTTGGGTGTATGAATGGGAGGGGGAGAAGAGGCCCATTGCGCCGGTTACGTTGGTTTGGTGTGCTGAGGCGAAGGGGGAAGATGTGGAGATGGTCGATGCTGATGAGAGTGGGAAGCAGAAGAAGGGGAAGAAGGGTTGGAGGAAGGTGTTTGTTCGGGTGCATCCGTCTGCGTTTTTGCAGTTGTGGAATGCCTTGCTGGGTGTTTCGAAGAAGCAGAATCCTCCTGTTATGGTCGAGGATTTGCGGTTTGAGATTGGCAGTATCGAGATTACTGGTCCGGGGGCTACGGAGGCGTTGCTTGCGTCGTTCAAGCCGGTTGCTGTGGATGGGAAGGATATCGGTGTGGACAGTCCGGAGGCTACATGGACTTCTCTTCTGGGGGTAACGAACCCTGCATCTCTGCCGCAGGACGCCGTCCTTGGGTTCTCTGTCTCTGACCCTCGCCTCGATTTCCCGCCCAAGACTATGAAGCCATCGTCGTCAGAGGAGGAGATGCAACGGCTGGCTATACTACTCTCGTCGTGGTCGCCGGATAGCACGCAGACGGCCCCTGCTCTTTTCGATCGTCGCGCCCGGTTAGCTGCTGCACGCCAATTGCCTAGCCAAAAGGCTATCAATCGGCGTCGAACCGAAGCTGGTCCTGGCGTACGCCCGCCCGCCAAAGACACCGATCCCAAGATACCTGTGATGGTACTCGCCAGTCGACCTACCCAGTCCAAGAGCAGCAGCGCACCTGGAACCTGGACTGTCCTCCTCCCATGGAAGTGCGTGCTTCCGTTCTGGTACTCACTGATGTACTATCCCCTCTCGAGCGGCGGAAACCCCAGATTCGGCGGTCTGAAAGAGCAGCAGCAACTCTCATTCGAGTCAGGAGAGCCTTGGTTCCCTGGTGACTTCCCGGGAACCCGCGCTGGGTGGGAATGGGGCCTGCGCGAGAGAGAAGAAGCGAAGCGAGAGTGGGAGCGACGTCCCAAGGGGCGCAGAACCGAGTTCGAGAGCATCGATCTGAGAAACGGACAAAAGGGTGAGATAGGACGTGGTTGGGCCTGTGACTGGGAGAGACTCATCCAAGGAGCACCAGAGGCGAGCAATACAACCGATAAGGAACAGCCCTCAGAGACTGAGACCAAACCGGATGAAACCACCAACGCCCAAGACAACGACGCCAATGCCACCCTTCCACCACTGAACATCCACCAGCTCTCATCATCCGAAGCAACCCGTGCCCTAACCGACCCCTCCACCACCACTACTATCAACACCTCAGCCCTAGCAACAGTCAAACTCACCCTCCTCAACCGCGGCACACCCACCCCCCGAGCCCGCATCTACCGACTCCCAACCACCGATCGCGAGCTCCGCCAGGACTGGCTCACGCTATCATCAAAGCAACCCTACGATGGTCTCAGGAATGACCTTCAGAAGAAACAACCCCGATCTGCCGCCAACCTCGGCCCGGAAGATATCCAGCAACAGCTCGCTGCATCGCTTATCTCTCCGTCTGCGGGTGACGATGCTCGTCAGAAGCATTTGCCGGTTCCGACGGAGGAGGATCTTATTGGCTTCGTTACCACGGGCAATTATAACCTTGCTGAGGGAAAGGGTACGGGGATTGGGTCTGTTTTGTTGTCGAAGGTGCAGAAGGGGAAGGCGAGTAGGAGGAATATGTGTATTATAAGGAGTGCGGGAGAGACGGTGGCGAGGGTGGGATTTTGGGAGTTGGTTTGATGTGTATGTGTGTGTGTATGTATGGATGGATTGTGTGGTTTTGTTGCGTGATACCCTGTGTGTCTTTGATTGATGGTTTGGGGAGGAGGGGGGTTAGAACTGAGCATGGAATTATGATAGAGATGAATACTATTTTAAAATCAGCCCTTTTAGTTGGGAGATTTCAACCAACCAACATCTACACCTGTAACAACATACTCCTAGTAAAATGAAAGATGAAAACAGAAACCAGTAACCTTCTCTAGCAAGCTAGGTATACATATACACACATGCACAAACCGGGATTGATGACTCGGCGGCAGCAGCAGCAGCAGCAGCAGCAGCAACAGTCGAACAAACACACTTACACACCACTATACCTCACCTCTCTATCAATATATCCCTATGGAATAAAATAAATTTACCCAACAATCCGATCCACAAACCCCTCCTCCAACCTAGCAACCTCCTTCTTAAACGCCTCAACCTCCTTCCAACAATCCAACGGCCTCCGATCATTCAACCTCAAACAACTCACCACCTCCGATCTAGCCTTCTCAATCCCCGCATCAATTTCAACCAACTTCTTCCGTCCCTCCAACTTCGCCCTCAACTCCTCAATCTCACTGTTCACGCTCTCCCGCGACAGTTCCCGGTTAATCGGCTGCTGCGCCGCCGCCTCAACCGCCGGAGCAGCAGCAGCAGCAGTCGCGAAGTAGCTCTCCCGCCCCGCGAACGGGATCCGGGGCGCATCCAGATCCAGAGATCCGGGTGGGTAGTAAGAAGCCCCTGAGCTGCTGGGAGTGTAGCTGGGCGCAGGTGTCGAAGAAGAGACATCTTTGGCTTCGGCAAGCTTCTTCTCAATCTCGGCCAGCGTTTGCTGTTCGCGGGCACGAAGGCGCTCGAGTTCTTGGGCTACGCGCTCTTGGATTTGGAGTTCGAGGGAGCGGGCGCGTGCGGAGTCGGTCTTTTCTCATTGAAGAAGGTGGGTTAGATGTGTTGGGTATGGTAGGTAGGTGGGAAATGTACGTACCTCGGTGTTGGACTGGAGGCCGTCAACGAAGTTGGCGGAGAATTGGACGGGGGAGGAGCTGTGGGGGATATAGCTGTTAGCTTGTATTCCAATTTATTCTCATTGTGACTGTGTTCAGTGGTTTCAAGGGTATCGCCCATGTCGAATTATTATTTATTTATATGGTTGGTTCGTTTGGGTAGGTATGATCATCCTCGGTGAAGAGAGTCCGGCTTCAATAGCATGCATGCATTGAGCGCGTCCAGTGATATCCCTGCCCAGACCAATCGATATACCAACACCACCAGAGCAATATATAATTTTCCCATGTAACAAGCAAAGCATCCTACCTCGAGAAAACGTGCTTCGAGTCGGCCGGAGCCGCGGGCTTAGAGCTGCCGGCGCCCATGATGTGCGGATATCGGGTTTCGTGTGTCCGTGACTTCCTTCAGCCGAAGCTGTCTTTGGTATTGTTTGGTGGACCGGAGGGAGGAAAGAGGCGAGTGTGGTAGTTCGGTTTCAGTGGAACACCGCAATTGGCCGCCGAGAGATCCTGATCGAGGGCAATTCCTGTGTCGGAGCAGGGAATTGCATATCGTCAAGGTCCGTTTCTGAAGCCGACTTCCGCCGGGTCACGTGGGATTAGTCATTATTTGCCTGAGGCAGATATTAGATGATGTTTGTTGTTGATGCCTTGGTGCCTGAAGATGGTGGGAGGTGGGTGTTTATGCCTCAGGCTAGTTACTGTTGCTGGATTAGTCACGGGGCTGCCGTTTTGGGATGGTTGGCTTTTTTACTTTCTTGGACGCTGGAGGTTGGGTAGAGATGCAGTTGGTGCCCGGGGTTGCTGGGATGGTTGGCTTGGAGAAACTGTATTAAATTGGGGGTTCTTACTGTACCTTTAGGTGGTTTTTGGGTGTTGATGGTGTTGTTTTGAGTGGTTGGGTTGAGGGTTAGACTTTGGATCTCAGAGGGTCAAATCATGGATATGGATTGACTCGATGATGAGAGAGGTGCTTCAATGAGTTACTGAATAGCACAGCAATAGGCATGTTGTTGCTTTCTCTACAAACTTAGACTAGCTAATCTCATGTTGGTGAGTGGTATACTGTGTCGAATCTCACGTGCTTGAAGATCGCCTGGCCTATCGTCTTGTTCGCTAGAACTCTACTCGGGTGACGTAGCAATGTAAATTACAAAGTCCTCCGTACTCTCTACATGCAAACAATAAGTGACAGACCTGACAGATCGAAGCCTTTAAGTGGCTGATCCTGAGATAAAATCTCGCAGTGATACTGCAGCATGCAGGGAGCAGCCGTCAAGGGAATGGTTGCTTGCATAGGCTGAACGGTTACTTAAGGTTACGTCGAGACGAGAATCCCCTGATCATCATCTTCTGACAGCTGGACTAGTCCGTCCCAAAGCAAACGCCGTATTAGTATATCACTTAGTTGCAAGTATGGTGATTCCGATCCAGGTACTAGTATGATGCTCATGTCAGCATCTCCAGGTTCCCCAATGCCCCAGACGACCGCATCCGGAGATGGGGAAGGCCAGCATCACCACCAATTCACCACCCACCGCGTGGTCTCACCCTCTCCTGACTGACGCAGAGGCCAAGCACGAGAATGGCATTGTGGCATTGCATTGTGTGCAACAGCCATCCTCGCCCTTCCATTCCCTTCGCTGCTAACCAATTCCCTCTCACCGGTGAACGACGGCTTAAACCCCACCAAGTTGGTTTCATGCGTCATGGCAGACACGCGGGCGGATTCGCTACCGACTCGCGGCAACCCCGTCTTGCAGGCAACTGGGCCACTTGTTAGTGCGAGGAGTGGCATCTGGAGACTGGAGACTGGAGAGAACCACGCACTAAGTTAGTAAACCTGGGACAAGTGCGAGACATCGGCAATGCGAGAATGTCGGGAAGGGGGGGAAAGCAGAGAGAACTGGAAGTGGTCGTGAACCCTTTTCCAATTTCCCTTTGGCCACGCCTGGCAAACCCGGCGAACCCGGCGTTCCCGTTGGCTTGAGCCCGTCGGACTGACCTCATCGACCCCTCCAACTGCAAGATTATTAGTTCCTTTACTGGGCTTCATGGCTCTGCTATTAATACGCCCACTTGCTCCCCCTTCATCATCGTATGCTCATTCCGGATAATAGTTATTAGACTCTTCCTGCTCGTATCCTCCTCCTCCTCCTCCTCCTGATCCTTATCCTTTGTTCCCTCCACATCCTCTACTTTCTCTCTCTCTCTCTCTCTCTCTCTCTCTCTCCATCTCCATTCCCCGAATTCCCCTCCAGCTTCCGTCTGCCCCTCCCCGTATTTACTTGAACCCCACCATTCGGTCTCCTCCTTCACCACTTTTTTTTTTTTTTTTTTTTTTTCCTGCACACTGTGTTTATTGTCGTCTGAACACATTCTTTGAGGCTCCCTCTATTTTCCATCTCCTCACACTCTCCCTCATATCCACATCTCTTCCGTCATCATGTCATCTGCTCTGCTGTCCGAGGCTGCGCGCATTGCCAGCCAGTTCGACTACCCCGCTGCTGAGGTGCAACGTGGAGTAACGGAATACATTCGCGAGATCGATGAAGGTCTGTCCAAGGAGCACACGACCCTCAGTCAGATCCCGACCTATGTCACAGCAGTGCCCAATGGCACGGAAAAGGTACGTTTCACACCAATCAGCTCCCTCCGCAGACCAGCAGCTGACCTGGTCATTGGCAGGGTTTGTACCTGGCAGTAGATCTCGGCGGCACCAACTTCCGCGTGTGTTCGATCGATCTACATGGAGACACTACCTTCTCCCTTACCCAGTCCAAGATCATGATTCCTCGTGAGACCATGGCGTCCGGTACGGCCAAGGATCTCTTCTTGTTCTTGGCCCGCCAGATCGAATCGTTCCTGCGCATTCACCACAACGACCACTTCGAGGCTCACCTGCGTCGCCGCAATGAGAAGAATGGCAACTGTGAAGAGGACCTGTTCGACTTGGGTTTCACCTTCAGTTTCCCCGTGCGTCAGCTGGGCATTAACAAGGGTACCCTGATTCGCTGGACGAAGGGCTTCAACATTCCCGATGCGGTGGGTCAAGATGTCTGTGCCTTGCTGCAGAACGCCATCGATGATCTGGGACTCCCGGTGCGCGTGGCTGCCTTGGTCAACGACACTGTCGGAACCCTCATGGCTCGTTCATACACCTCTCCTGGAGAGACGGGCACTTTCCTGGGTGCTATCTTTGGCACGGGCACCAATGGCGCCTATGTGGAGAAGCTGGACCGCATCACAAAGCTGCAGACCATTGAACACTCCGAGTATGACAAGACTACCGGTGAGATGATCATCAACGCCGAATGGGGCAGCTTCGACAACCACCTGAGTGTCCTGCCGAACACCATCTATGACCAGCAGCTCGATGCCGACAGCAACAACCCGGGCATCCAGATGTTCGAGAAGCGCGTCTCGGGTATGTTCCTGGGCGAGATCTTGCGCCGCGTCATGCTGGACATGCAGCGCAACGAGTCCCTGGGCTTCCTCAAGACTGGTGGGGCTTCCACTGTGTCTGTGCCCAAGGAGTCTTCCCTGTACCGCCAGTGGGGTATTGACACCAGCTTGTTGAGTCTGGTCGAGGCCGACAAGACCGAGAATATGGAGCAGATCAAGGTCGCTTTGAAGGATCACCTCAAGATCGAACGCCCCACCACCGATGACTGCAAGGCCATCCAGACCGTTGTTCATGCCATTGGCAAGCGTGCTGCTCGCCTGAGTGCCGTCCCGCTGGCTGCTGTCCTCCTCTCTACTGGCAAGCTGCAAAAGGACGACCTCGTAGACATTGGTGTTGATGGCAGTCTGGTCGAGTTCTACCCCAACTTCGAAGGCTACATGCGCGACGCCCTCCGCGAAGTGCCCGAGGTTGGCGAAGCCGGCAACAAGAAGATCCGCATTGGTATCTCCAAGGATGGCAGCGGCGTGGGTGCTGCTCTGATCGCCCTCGTTGCTAGCAAGGAGGATGCCCGCAGAAAGGCGCAATAGTGGCCGTCAGGACCATCTCGCAGGAATTCCGCATTGGTTAGGTGTTTGAAGAGCGGTTGGGAGGACGGATGTTTGGGCATATTTGATCTTTTACGGCGTTGTACAGCTTACTGGAATTGTGAATATATCCTAGGTCGGAATGAATTCTTTCTTTTACTATTATTTTGATTCATATGGCGACAGCACTGTAGCTTGTCAACCAAGGAGTAGTTGGGCTGACATGGCCAGTCCGAATTCTAACGCTGCTAAGCCAACACGCGTTGCTCCTGAGTTGCCAACGCGACCAAGCGAACAAAGCGACGGCACGAGAAGCGAGGATGCTATTGCCCGCCACAGCCGCCCAAACCACCATCTCCAACTGAAAGAATTCAATAGTGCCTGATTTAGAGTCTGTCTTTCTTTGACCACTTGATTGGCAACGAAAATCAACGACAGAAATAGCATGCAGGTACTTAGTCTAGATGCAGTCTGGCTTCCACCAATCCTTGCTTCAGGGGAAGATGTGAGTCTCCGATCGAAGTTAATCCATCCTTCTTGGAATTCCCCTATTCCGATATTCTTTGTGGGGGGAATATCCCGCCTGATCATTCCCAACTGACAGGAATCTTTCAAGGGCTTCTCTCCGGATAGAAATCTTTCCGATGCCGGAATGTCAGAAGCAAACCATCCACTCTCAGTGTGACCCTCGCTTTGCCCCGTCATGCTGCCAACCCCTCCGGGGTATACCTGTAGCTTGCACAACCTGATCAGTGCTTCGGAATACGGATTGCTTCTGCTCCTGAATGGTCTGGAGCCTTGACATGCGCAACAAAGCAAGGGGTCCCCATTGGGCCAGACTGGCGTGGCTACGAGATGGTGACACAACCTGGCTTCCATTACGGCAATCGTCGTCAGCCAGTGAAGCCGGAAGGAGGCTTTCCTTGAACCGTCTTTCTTTTCACTGCTGATCTTCCTTCCTGCCACTTTTGTTAAACCTTTTTGGAGTGATTCTTAGATAACTGCTTCATGTGCAGACCAGAGGAGGATTTCTTCTACTGCTATCTACACTGTTGACTGCTGCCCTAAGTACCCTCATCTGCTTAGGTTGTGAGATTGCTTTGGGTCTTGCATACCTATTCTCGCCATGGATGCTTCCAACGCTGAGAAACAGCAGGGACCGTTTGCTGAACTGAAACCATTCAAGGTCACGCACACAGAAAACAACGGTTCCGCTAGAAGCAAAGAGAGTACGCTCGTTGATTCTGCGCGCGACACCTCCCCTCATTCACAGACGGTCGAAGCACAGCATGAGCCAAAAGCACCCAGCTCGATACATAGCCATGATGCGGAACCTGAGCCAGAGTATCCTACTTCGTGGAGGCTCACACTGATTGTGATCGGGCTCTGTCTTTCGATTTTCTGCATGGCCTTGGTGAGTATTCCACTACTTAGGCAAGTGGTCGTGCTAATAGTATCAGGACAACACGATTCTGGCGACTGCGATCCCCAAAATCACAGACCAATTCCAGTCACTCGGCGACGTGGGCTGGTACGGCAGTTCCTACCTCCTAACAACGTGCTGCCTCATTCTAGCCTTTGGCAAGCTGTACACTTTCTACTCCACCAAATGGGTATACCTGATGGGGCTCGCGATCTTCGAGATCGGTTCTCTGGTCTGTGGTGTGGCTCCCAACTCGGTTGCGCTGATTATCGGGCGGGCGATAGCTGGCCTTGGGGCCGCCGGAGTCTTCTCAGGAGCCATGATCATTATATCTCAGACTGCACCACTCAAATGGAGGCCTTTTCTTACCGGTTCTATTACCTCCATGTATGGAATCGCCAGTGTAGCAGGGCCCCTGATGGGTGGTGCGTTTACCGATCATGTCAGCTGGCGATGGTGTTTCTATATCAACCTTCCCATTGGCGGAGCGACCATCTTCTTCATCCTGCTATTCTTCAAGGCACCCAAATCAGTCAAGAGTACCCAGGGGCTCAAGGATAAGCTGTCGCAGTTTGACCTGCCTGGTACATTTGTCTTTTTGCCAGGAGTCATCTGCGTCTTACTCGCACTGCAATGGGGTGGGACCACTTACGAATGGGGAAATGGCCGCATCATCGCCCTGCTGGTGTTGTTCGGGGTCCTCATCGGTATATTCATCGTGCTACAGATGTGGGGTAACGAGAAAGCCACGATCCCTCCACGGCTGATCAAGAATCGAAATGTATGGGGTGCTGCTCTGTTCAGCTTCTGCGTCGGCGGTTCCTTCTTTGTGGCAGTTTACTACGTGCGTATCCCACCACCAAACTAACCCTGTATTCCACTAACATCTACAGCTCCCCATCTGGTTCCAAGCCATCAAAGGCGTCAGCGCCACCAAATCTGGCATCATGAACCTACCCATGCTACTAAGCGTCGTTATCTTCTCCATCGTAGCAGGCGGCCTCGTCTCTACATTCGGATACTATACCCCATTCATGCTGATATCCCCAATCCTCATCGCCGTCGGCGGCGGCCTTCTCTCCACCATGGGCGTACACTCCTCGGCCGGTCACTGGATAGGATACCAGATCATTTTCGGCATGGGTGCAGGCCTGGGCATGCAGCAGCCGATGATGGTGGTTCAAGCAGCGCTGAAGATTGCCGATGTTCCCAGCGCGACGGCTATCGTGGCGTTCACGCAGACACTGGGCGGAGCATTGTTCGTCTCTGTAGCGCAGAACGTCTTCCAGAACGAACTGCGCAAGAACCTGGCACAGGTATCGGGTATTGACCCTGCTTCTGTCATGCAGGCGGGAGCAACCATGCTACGACATGTCGTATCTGCGGATCAGCTACCAGCTGTGCTAGAGGCGTACAATGGGGCTGTGACGACGACATTCTATGTTGCTGTAGCCATGGGAGCGCTGAGTATTTTTGGAGCGTTGCCTATTGAGTGGATATCTGTGAAGGGAAAGAAGATCGGGCCGCCGGCAGCGTAGTCTGCCAGAAGCTATGGGTTTTGATTGCATGTGATTACTTATAAATTGTATAATGCTAGTTAAGCGACAGGCAGAGGATACATAGATCTAATAAGAAATGATGGATGGCCAAAGACGAGGTATCACGCTGACAAAAGAAACAACGAAACGAAAGATTGACCACATCACAACTAACTCTAACAAGAACAGCAACAATAGTAGTAAAAGGAATAGAGAGAGAAAGAAAGAGAGAGAGAGAGAGAGAGAGAGAGACTATACAACAGCATACAAACTCAAATACACCCCCCAAATCACCCCACACGCACTCCCAAACACGACGCGCCGATCCACCGGCACAACCGTATACATGAGCAACGAGACAATCGGTCTATATTTAAGTCTTGCGATCATGATAGGTTTGAAGTCCTGCCCCAACAATTAGTAAACTTATCCCAAACCCCTCACAACACCCCCCAACATCAACAAGAATAAACAAAAGAGAGAAATGAAAGAGATAAATACCTCAACAACCAACCCCCAAACACCCCCCACACCCACCCCCTTCAACAAATTAATCAGAACAATAAACAGTACGATATTCCCTACACTCCCCACCGTCTGATCGAGCAGGAATTTCATGAGGAAGTTGTACCAGCCTCCTCTGCTGCGCTTCTGTTGTGAAGGGAGGAAGTTGTGGGGGTTTTTTTTCTCTTTGAGGAGGACGGTGGAGGTTGGGTCTGGGATGGAGATGTATATCTCTCCTAGCCCTGGTCCTCCTCCTCTTTTAGTAGTACCATTTGGGGTTGAGGTTCGTAAAGGAGGAGAAAGATTGTTAGTAGATGAGGATGAAGGGGTTGATGCACCACGGAAAAGAAACCCCGGATACCGGCGTTCCAGATACCTCTGCCAGATGAAATTCGGAGGAACGATTATTATCCCGTAGGTGATGAATTGAAGGAGGGCGGGGAGGTTAGGTGTAAATGTTGATTTCTTTGAATCTTTAGTATTAGGTTTGGTTTTGGGGGGATTGTGGGTGTGGTTGTTGTTGTTTTGGGGGCAGCTTACGGATTTCCGATGATGGTCTATTATTTGTGCTAGGATGTTGGCGATGGCGTTAAGAATGGTGGATTGGATGAAGGTTGTTGTTAGGGGGGAGACCATCTTTCTCTCTATCACTTTCTTTTTCTTTTTGTTTTTCTATTAGGGGGTTATTGGGGTAGTGGTTTGCGGGTTGCTTTAGTGAGGGAGGAAAGGGTCCTTGTTGTTGTGGTGGTGGTTGTGGTTTAAGGGATGGTGATGGTGGTGTTAGGTTAAGGAATGGACATGGTTTGGTATCATGTATGACAGTTTTGGATAAAGTTAAGTGATGAATGAGTATAGAGAATAGTACAAGGTTAGCTATTAATGAATGAATAGGGTGGGTTGATATTACATTCTCATCCCCATAGTCTTGGGGTGATATGTTCATGCAGTGTGGGCACGTGTCCTTTCTGGCTTGGTGTCTTACTATTTCTGCCATCTTACTACATACAACATTTACAATAGACCGAGCACAAAGTAGATACAGGTATAAGTTTAATAATAATGCTATTTAGCTACTGCACACGCGCCCGTACAATCACATCCGGTCCCTCTTTCGCACTGGTAAAATGGTCCACCAGTGCCAAATGCCCTCCCTCATCCTCTCCTCTCCGATCGCCCAATTCCATATCAAACAAAAACATCAACCGCGCAATCGTCAATCGCATCTCCATCAACGCCATGCTCTTTCCAATACATCCCCGCGGCCCAATGCTAAAGGGACAGAATGCCCGCCGCGCCATCTCCACATCCTCCCGCGTTGTCTGCCACGCCTCCATCCCCGTCTGACAGATCGCCCCTTCGATCCACCGCTCCGGCAAATACACCCCGGGCTGTCGGTAATAAGCCGCCTGCCGGTGGATCGAGTACGTTGGCGTCCCGCAATCCGTCCCGCCCGGCAGGAACACCCCGTCCACCACCGCTCCGCCCTCCATCACTTCGCGCGGGGGCGCCCCGGGCACCGCGGGCGCCAGCCGCAGCGCCTCGTCCAGGCACGCCTTCAAGTACACCAGCTCGTTCAGCTTGCTGCCTGTTACGATCTCTTCGACCGAGGAGAAGCTCTCCCGGACCTCTTTCTGCAGCTGTGCCATCGCATGTGGGTTGCGCACCAGGTAGAAGATCGTCGCGGCTAGCGTCGTCGACGTCGTGTCACTGCCCGCGATCATCAGCACGTTGGCCTCGCCCCAGAGCTCAGGGGTCGTCAGGCCCTGGCCCGTCTCGGGATCCCGGGCGTTCAGCAGGTAGTAGAAGAAGTCTCTTTTGGCGTCGTGGCCGGCCTTGGTACGTTCCTGGGCGCGCTTGGTCGCTTCCACGCGCGAGTTCATGATGAAGTTCCAGCGGTCGTTGGTGAGCCGGTGGATGAAGAGTTGGTCGAGGTGCCATCGATCTAGGGGCATCCAGAGACCGCACTGTTTGGTCAGTCAATTCGGTTCTCAGCAAAAATAGCAGCTCGAGACATACCACATAGTGCCGGTTTGCAGCCCGGTCGACGAGCTCGATCAGCCGTCTCCGACTACTCTCGATCAACATGTCGAAGCTCTTTCCGAAGCACAGCTCGCCCATCACGTCATATGTGAGGTAGCTGAACCAGCGGCCCATGTCCTGCACCACGCCTGTCTGCTGGGCACGCGTTAAGCCTGCACACAGTTGCCGCACGTGCAGCAGCATCACGTCTTCCATGCTTTTGAGTGCATGGTCAGAAAAGGCCTGGCTCAGGACTCGTCTTTTCCGGCCGTGCATGACCTTGTCAATGACGTTATGTGTGTTGTACACGCCTTTGATAGCGGGGAAGGCATTGTAAAAATCGGCCTTCTTGAGCCGCTTGCCGTGTCCGTAGATGTCATGGAGGCCTTGGGCAGTATTTACTGAGACAAAGTTAGGTGCCACGCGGACATGAGAGCCATATTGTTCGTGAAGAGCGCAGAGCCACAGGTGCCGGTCTCCTTGAAGGCCATGGTAGAGCTGGACCCAGGGAGTGAGGGAGGCGAGCAAGGGACCTGGGATGCGGCGGAGAGGGTGGAAGAAACGATTGTAAATGGCATAGACAGAAGACTGATGTTGTCAGTATGCATTGCAAGTATGCAAGGTGACACCTTATCGACATAATACAGAAGGTGTAAGGGAGAATCGGTATCAACATACCAATCCCACGAGCAAGGCAAGCAACCCCCACCCTATGCGGGTTATAGAGATAGCCTGCCAGCCAATTTGGGCCAACATGGCTGTCGAATCCTAGTGTAATAATGAGTGGTGCTAAGAGGTGGAATAATAATGAGAAGCTGAAGTATATAGTTCGGCCAGTCAACGAGCACCGAAGCTAGCCGGGGCCAACCGAGGCCGAGTTCGACCAAAAAGGAAATCCCCGCAAGCGGATAACAAAGACAGGCAAATGACGACAGTCACTCGAGATATCAGAACCACTATGATCCAGATGGCTGTTTCACTTACAAGACACTCACTGGCACTCGAGACTCGTCTACCGCTTTATACATCTCTCTGGCTCGGTTACTGACGGGCTTTCCCTCGCGTCTTCTGCCCCTCCATTCCCCTCCCTCTCTCCTCATTTTCGAGTACGAAGTGTCTTCCATGGAACTATGCAATATCATCTATTTAGCGCAAGCTGCGAGGATGCGTCATCGTGGCCAGCACCGGCTGGTCTGTGTATCTACATAGAGAGAAGTCCGGTTGTCGGACTACCTGGCCCGGGTACCCCGGGTGCTTCATATCTCTACACTGTAGATGAGAATTAGTAGCTTTGATCGTCGATCTGGTGGAACACATCATTCGGATCTCGATTGGTAATGCTCATGCTAAGATTGCTGCTGTCATTTCGCGTCGTGTACGCCGTCGGAGGATATATAACCACTCCTGCTATGTGTCTTGTCTTCTGTCGCGGCGATGCCGATGGGGCATTGCTTATCGATCCATGTCAGAGCGGTAGTATTTCCTGGAGCTCGTGGCCCAATCATTGCGTGCTTATATCGCGGGCCTTATCGGTCAAAGCTAGGAGAGTCTCAGGCTGTTGCTACCCACTGTATTTGCATTAGAGCATCGGCTACTGTTGTCCGGCTTGCAGACAATGTAACCAGCCAGTTCGGATAAGCTATTATGTCAAATGCCTCTCATGTGTAACCGTGGAGACCGCCATCGAGAATCCACTGCTCGTTGTCATCATTATCGTCCTGCACTCTCCGCCATGTCTGTTTCCGCTCTTTGCGTGCCGTGTCCGCTTGCTCTCCGTCCGCCGACTTCCAGACCGGTCGCAACAACCCTCCAGCTGCAAGAAGAGGATTATGGCTGAATGCCTTACCGCTGCTTTCTCTGTTCTCCCCATCTCCGAGCTCCTCCTCTGCCCTTGCTTCAGCTTCCTCCTCCGCGGAAGGGCCCGTCTCCGCAGGCCCAGCTGATTGGTATACCCTCCTCACCTTTCCTCCCTTGATATCCAGACTCATGATGGTCTTCTTCTTCTCCCATTCCGGCCGTGCCTTTTCCTCCATTTCCCGCATGATCCGCTGCTGCTTCTTAAGGGCCAATGCTCGCTGCGCAGGTGTCATCCACAGCGTAGATGCTACGTTCGGAGTCTCAAAATCTGCTGCCTCGTCCACCACACGTGTCCGCTTGGCGTTCTGCGCCTGGAACGCAAGCAACTTGTCCCGATGCGCCTTGGCGGCGTCCAATTTACTGGGAGCTCCCGAACCCATTCCAGGGCCACCCTCCCGATGTACACTCTCATTGTGTGCGCGCATCTTCTCCTGTCCGCGCTCTGCCCGCAGCTCCCGTATCATGCTCTGAATCTCGTCATTCGACAGGAGAGGTGTTTTGCAAAATGAACACGGCTGTAGCCCTTCCAGCGAACAAATGATCTTTCCGCAGTTGAGGCAATTCGGCGCTGGATCAAAAAGAGGATGGATGCTAGCGTTGCATGTGCATTTCCGTGCGCCACCACTCAGCGTCGGATTCGTAGATACCTCCAAAGCGGCAATGGCAGCCGTCAAATCATTGATATTATTCGTAGTCAGCGATCCCTTGGACGATGAGCCGGTCCCCGTACTGCTCCCACCACCTCGAGAGGCAGACTTGGCCGCCTTCGACTTGACATTCGGTAGTAGATCCGAGATCACGGGGCCAGCGGCAGAAGGCGGGTTTTTAGCCGGTGTTGGTCTCGGGGCCGGTGATTGGTTTCGCGAAGAGGTAGCGGATGCCTCGCGGGAAGAGATCAACGGTGATGGTGATAAACCGGTGTCTAGTGTGCCTTCTCTCGCGCTTCCTTCTTGTCTGCTCCGGCTAGAGACGGGCATGTAGTCCTCATCCTGGTCCTCCTTTCTGTATCCACCCGTCACATTTCCAAAATTATCTGGTCGGCGAACAGGTCCGGCGCTGTGTAGTGGTGGCTTCGACTTCTTGCCCCTCTTCGACTGCGTTTCCGAATAATTGTTCCTAGATGTGGACTGGCCGCTCGGAGCGGGGGACGGCGCGTTAGATCGTGGGGGTGGTTCTCGTCGCGAGCTGAATGCAGAAATGAATTCGAATGCGGCGGGAGAGTCGCCCAGAAGGTTTTTGAGGTGTTCGGCGCCGTCTTCTTTGGAGAGGCTGGCGGCGTAGGTGATGATCTGCGTGAGCGACTCCTCGTCAAGCGGGAGAATTTGGCTCAGTCTGGGGATTGCCCAGGAGATGAGGCTGGTGTTGCTCATGTCGCTAGCAGTCAGAGGTTAGAGAAATTGTTAGCGACTGACTTAATTGATGCTCATGGTGGAATGCGCCTCATGAAATGTGGATGATGGATCGAGCAAGCGGGCCAGACGATGACGGACGGAAGGTCCCGAAGTGGGCTGCGAGGCCATACTTTTCAGGCCAACAACATTGCATACTAGTCTGAAACCACGAGCTTTCGAGATATCACAACTCAATTTGGCGTGTCTCATCATAAGTCATGCTCATATATTATTTATGCCATTATACATAGAGTTCCAATGTAAAGCAAAACAATTTCCAAACATCTCTATAGAGCAGCCCTGCCCAGGATAGCAGTCGTCCAACACGCCATGAAGTTTACGAGGTTACACTTTGTACTCTTGTCTGGAAGCCACTTTTCATGTACACGAATTAGTGATAGGCTCGAACTAAGACTATTATGCCACGGGGATCACCGGGGTAGATATCGAACAAACGTTACAAGGGCACTTTATAGAACTCCTCTCTAAAAGGGTGTCCCAGTACCTTGATTAAATCCATTGCACCTATTGTTCCACTGAATCAACAGTATGTATAGTGGACCTCCAACAATTAAGAATATGGTTGGCGTTCGAGCTCAACTGTTCAGTTTACACTAGAGGCTTCTAGATTTGACTTAATTATATACCCAATCTTAAACCAATCGATTGATTGTGAAACCCGAACTGACCTATTGCCAGAATATTGTACATACAACCGCATGAAAATCTATCATTCAAGAGAACAGCACACAACACCTATAAAAAGAAACGGAAGAGAAAGGCTAGAGACGATGCCGAGCATGTCCCTATTCGACTCGAGGATACTAAGGTAGGAGGTTCCCGTCGACGCCGTTGATGCCGGGTATTTACGTCAATATCGTTAAGCAAACGGAGATATGTCCAAGGCCTTGTCCAACGCAAACAGGTCTGCAGTCTGCAAGAAGCAAGGTAAAAATAATGTTGAAAGGGATGTGTAGAAAGGTATAAGGTGTGGAAAGAAAAGAAGAGAAAAGAAAGAAAGAAAGAAACACCGAAGGCTTAAGAGTTATCCCCGTTCGCTTCACTCTTGATGTCCCCGTCACCAGAGCCGGCGGCATCACTTGCTGCGGCCATGTCTGGCGTAAGCCCGTTTTTCAACTTGCTAGGCGGAGGTGGCTTCTTCCCTGACAGTTTTTTGGGGGCTCCTAACTTCTTCTTCTTCGTCGGAAGAGTTGCTGGAACATCATCATCCACTAGTGGACGCTTAGGTGGAGCAGAACTGGGTGTACTGGCACCATTTTCCATTGGGGTCTTGTTGCGGTTGGTCTGTCGCCCTGATAAACCCAAGCACCGATCCAGGTGCTGTGCAACTCGAGTGACAACAAAGTATCTCGGGCAGTTCGGGCATTTCACAGTCGGGAAGGACACCTTTTCTGGGGCTGCTTGTTTGAAGGAACTGTCAGGCGTTGTGGGAGGGCTTGAAGCTGGAGTATTGGACGTATTTGTCTGTTTCTTCTTCTTCGGATTCAGCTTGTCCGTAGCAAACGGGTTTCCATGAACATCATGCCCCGGCTTGTTGATCATAGGCTGCTTCTGACAATACTCCCGATATGGATCTGGGGGAGCCCGAGCCCCGACACCCGTTACTGGGTATAATAGACGAGGCAATCGGCACTCCGGACAGATAATCTCTTTCGTGGTTTGCAGAGGGTTTCCCTTGAGGTAAACCTTGCCTTCATCAAAGACAGCCGCATCTGTCTCCACATGTATATCCTTAAGTTCCTCAAGGTCGAGATCACCGGGCTTGAATGCACCAGCTGGCTTCCCACTCTCTTCACGACGTTTGGATGCCTCTTCATCGGCTTTTTGCCTTGCAGTGACCACCGCTGAGCGCATACGGGAGACCTTTTCGTCGCGATGCACCTTCGCAACTATATCATGAATTATATTATAAAAGGTATCGTTGAGGATATCGCATGTCTAGTGTTGTCAGGATCCATTGCCAAAGCCCAGAGACGCTACTGTGCCACAGCCGGAAGCATACGGGCATGAACGTACCAATTTTGCAAGCGTTCCTGAAGGAAAGGAACTTCCATTCTCTTCAGCCCCATTCGACTCGCCCATTTTGGCAATGTTCTGCAGGACTGGAAAGTGTTAGAGCTAGAGCATCTTCCAAGACTGAGCGTTCAGGAAACAAGCAAGCAAGAAATGCAGATGAGTGGGGTAGCCCAGCACATCGCATACAACATGATAATGCACTCGACAGCAAGCAGTACCGATGAGATAACGCAATGGTCGCGCGAATACTGCAAAGTCCAGGACAACTGTCGAGACATACCTCTGCTGGTATATGCAAAGTAATCACGCGCCAATTAAAGCGGAACTTGCAGTTGACAAACAGCTGCTTCCACACAACTCTGAACGATTATCCCCAGTATCAAACCGATGGCGCCATGTAGGTTTGCGCAGGGTGTTCGAAGGCAAATCTGGGTCGGGGTTTACCGGCCGCTTAACGGATGCGGATGGAGGGAACAATGGCGTAATAGACGACTACCCGACTGTGTTGGTCCAAACAAGGGAGCAATAAAGCAAGTGCCCGACTCCCACTATAAAGAATGTCTCAAAGAAATGGTACACAGGGACGATAGCACGTAGAGTCCATCTGTCTGGCGGGGAGTGAATGGCGTCTATAACCCGGGGGCGGGAAACACCCACGGTAGGGAGAATCAGCGGACTGCGCGCACGGCCATTACCATGAGGGGGAGTAACTCACCTTGGCTTCACATCCGATAGAGCAACATATATAGAAAGAGCACAGTAGACTGTGTGACGCAGCCAAAAAACAAGACCAAGACGGCAAGTGAAGGTGCAGCACCAGGGGCAATCCTAGATCGGAGGACGTGGACAGAGGCTCTTTTGCGCTGGCCTTTGCCTCTTTGAACTTGTCCGACCGCCCGATCTTATCTTATCGCATCTCCGCGTTTCTCTCGCCGTTTTCGTCCACCGCTTTTGGATCGCGTTGGGTTCCCCTCTTCGTCTGCTGGCGCTCTGCTTCTCCCCGCTCTCTCCTCGACGTGTTTCTGGGTATTCTTTCTTTTGTATACCTCAGAGTCTGCTTCAGGGGAAGATACTTCTTGTATAGTGTGGCTTACACATCACATTTACCCTTCTTCCAACCATGGCTTTCCAGTTCTTCGCCAGGGCGCATCAATCCAAAGCGCCCACTTCTCCACCTTTGTCTCCCCCTCAGGCTCCAAGTACGATAACTTCACCGTCTTCAAACAACTCTTACACCAGGCCACCTAAAGGTCCACCAGCTATCGTCGTTCCTCCCTCTTCTGGCTCATCTTCCGTGAGTCTGACGTCCAAATTCCAGCCTCCAGCAGGCCGGGACTCGACCCTTCAGGCTGTGCCATACCCAAAGCCCATCGCATCAGGCCACCCCACTCCGCACCCGCATGTTACCGTCGAAGTTGTGAGCACAGCTCACATCCCTTCGCTGACCAGAATCACGGGCTTGCTGCTTCCTATTCGCTATCCGAACTCTTTCTACACAGCCACCATCACTGACCCCGTGATCTCGTCGCTGTCCCGCGTGGCCGTCTATCATGATCATCCGGTAGCCGCTGCTCCCACCTCTGCAGCGCCAACCCCTTCAACGGGCTTGAAGACCCCCACAACTGGATCAGACAAAGTTATTGGAGGCATCAGGTGCCGATTGGAGCGGTTACCGCCGACTACTGCCGGAATCTTGCAAGGCCGGTCGAACTCCGAGCCGACGAATCTCTACATTCAAACCCTTCATCTACTGTCGCCCTATCGAGGCTGTGGGATTGCAGCATCGCTTCTAGACTCGCTCCTCTACACGTCCAGCTCCTTGTCATCTTCCACTTCATCCGATCCGCGACCTGATCAACAAGTCTCAGACCTGGTGAAGCATTACAATATTCGCACCGTCACAGCCCATGTTCACGAGGCCAACGAAGATGGTCTGAAGTGGTACGTCGCACGAGGGTTCAAGGTGGAAGATGGAATAGTGGAGAACTACTACCGGCGCCTGAAACCTTCTGGCGCAAAAATAGTCAAGCTTGTTCTCCAATGGACTGATGCGCCTAAAGAGGAAACCGTTCCCAGCAACAAGGGTCAAGACCAGCGCAAAGTGCCTGGAGGGGATGATGACGATGATTGGGAGAAAGTCGAAGCTGAAGACGGTGATGACGAGGAAGACCATGGAGTACAACCATTCGCCGATGCGGATTCTAAGATTCTGGAAGTTGACGAGGGGGTGAGCAGGAAGCGTAAGGCAGATGATGAGCCCCAGCGGCCATGACATTTCATGTTCTGCTAAGAACTATAGATGCACTGCTTATCGTTTTCTGCCTGATTTATCTACATTTTAGCGTTCGGTTGTTTGCTCTTTGCCCCATCACTGATACCCTTATCATTGTCAAATGTTATTACCATAGAACACACTGTCTATACCATATATAGTTTGGTTCTTTCCACTCAAGTTTGGATATATAGTCATATACACCAGGATAATCATACTCCTATCATATCCTGTCTGTCGCAGCCGTAATCCATCATCTCATCCTATAACACACCCCGTAGCCTTAACCCCTCACAGTGAATACAGACCACCTTCTAGAACAGTCCGAAATAACGCATTAACTAGAACCCCCAGACGCGTCCCCCGTCACGTCATTATTGGTCGGCTTTCAAAAGTGGATTTTCGCGATACTTCGAAATCTCCCCAAGCTAACGGTTCTTATTGGCCTCTTAGATCATATCAGATTGATCGCACACTGAGTGCTGTGGGGATGCATTCAACACGTATAGGACATTCACTTTACGCTTTAGTAGCATTAACGTAAGTTTAGTCACAACAACATTCTCCATCCCCTCAAAATAGTAACGCAATGCTACCAAATATGACCGGACTGCCGTTGTTGTCATAAGGTTCTGGTTCGACGTAAAAGAGATAGTTCATATGTAGAAGTATATACTGAGGAATCATAAATCCTCATGCAATAGCCGTTCAGCAAGTTACCTATAGTATTAGTAAGGACTGCATCCGCCTGCGGTCGTGATGCCTAATGTGCCCTGGGGATGAAGCTGACATTCTCCCTTGAATATACAGTTAGCGTACTAGTTCTGGAAATACATATATTGCCTAGCTATCAGCCGAATCGCTTCATTCTTGTCATAGTATCAGTGTTTCCAATGGTCCTTCAACTAAGCTTTTAGTAGGCAGGGATGATACTCTGTGGCTGATTGCACTGAAGCTTCTTATACTATATACTAGCGTCCGCTGTTCGAGATATTTTCTATTACAGCAAAGGTGTGGAATATAGGGATCTCCATAGCACTCCAAATTAAATATAGTAGCTAATGTTCAGTTCAATATCATGTTATCTTGCGAGGTATTTATCTTTTGTCACGTTCATCAGACATCTTTGTAGAAGTGATGTGCAGGTCAACATTCCTCACCGCCCCGATAGATGTTCAGAATTCTGCCGCAGAAAAATGGAAAGTCCGTCAACCATTTCCTCCTCATACAGACTGAGTTTCATAGACCCATTTACCTCTTCATTGACCATTTTCACACCCTGTCGGTCCTGAGCAGACTACTTCGGCTTCAGCAATAGCTCAAGATGGCCTCCACAACGCCATCCGCACCCCCTTCTCTCACCCTACCCCCCTCGCAATTCGCCCGACTCCAACCTCACGCCTATCTCCTCGCCCACCTTTCACCACCCGCATCCAGCAACCAGCCCTCCATCCGAGCCAATGGCCGCGCTCCCTCGCAATTCCGCGTCACATCTGCGAACACAGGCTCCCTAACCCACACAAATGGCAGCGCCGTCGTAAGGGTTGGCGACACAACCGCAGTATGCGGCGTACGAGCGGAAATCCTCCCCACTGCCGACATTGCCTCGTGGAGCGTGTCTCAGTCCTCGTCATCTGCGAATAAGCGTCGCAAACTCGCCGATCAAACTAAGAAGCCTACTGAGGATGATGCGGAAGTGGAAGATCCTGAAGACGAATCGCACATTCAACAACTCAACCTTCTCGTCCCGAATCTGTCGCTGAGCACCGGCTGCGCACCGGGCTTTGTCCCTGGCGCGCCCCCGTCAGCACTCGCACAGTCGCTATCCCATAAGATTTTGAACTTGCTGCATAGTACAAAGTTGGTCCGCGCCGAGGATTTGCGCATTTGGTACCAGCCGCCTAGTCTGGGGCCGGAGGACCTGGAACGCCATAATGAGTCTGAGCAGATGGATGTGGATGTAGAGCGCGGGGAGGAGGTCGGCAAGGAAAAGGAGATCAAGGCATTCTGGGTGCTCTATATTGATATCATGATCATTTCCTTGGCAGGAAACCCCTTCGATGCTGCCTGGGCTTCGGTTTTGGCTGCACTGCGCGATACGAAGCTACCCCGGGCATGGTGGGATGTTGATAATGAGATGGTTGTGTGCTCGGATGCGGTTTCTGAGTCTCATAAGCTGTCTTTGCGCGGTCTGCCTGTCGCAAGCTCGTTCTGTGTTTTCGAGGCTGATGCTGCTGCTGGCTGGAGGGCTGTTATTATCCCAGACGCTGAGGAGGAAAAGAACATTGAGGAGAGCGCTCGGAAGGGCATTCAGCGGAGGTGGATTCTGGCCGATCCTGATGGATATGAGGAGGGACTGGGTCAAGAACGAGTCTGCATTGTGGTTGATAAGGAGCAAGGTGGGAAGGGCAAGACGGTTATACAGAATATGGAGAAGAATGGAGGATGGGCTGTGGATGGGAAGGAGCTCAAGGCGCTGGTTGACATTTCCGCGCAGAGATGGGAGCAAATGAAGCACATCTTTGAGCAGTGTTGATTGTTTAGAAAGCGACTAATACTACATGCAATGATACCATGATGTCAATCATGATCTGACTCTAGTCCTGCGTAGAGTGAACCTGGTGACTATGCTAATATACAAAGGCAGACTTGCATATTTAATAATGCTGCGATTCTTCGAGCGAACAGTACAAGAGCTAGTTTTACAATGCCGGTGTGAGGGACTGGGCAACTGGAGCAGTCCGAACTCCCCATCATTCATGGGAACATCGGATGCCAAGACTGGATCTCGACCTCCGCCGCGCCAGAAAGCTCCGCAACTCTTCACTGCGGATTCTTGACAAGTACCAGTAAACAACCTGACACCTGTTTGTTATATTCAAGATGGCGACTGATGTGGCTTTTGACACGAGCATGGTATGGATAACCAGAACGACTGCGTCAGCATACCCCGCTAACCTGCCCAGGGCTCGTTCACAGTAGAACTCTACAATGCGCATGCGCCCAAGGTCAGTACCCAGATTCTAAGCTCACCTCATCCTCTTATGGTACATTTTACTGACACCATTGTTACCGACTAGACGTGTAAGAACTTTGCGACGCTTGCGCAACGAGGCTACTATAACAATGTCATCTTCCACCGCATTATCCCCAACTTCATGGTACAAACCGGCGATCCTACCGGCACTGGCAGAGGAGGAAGCTCAATCTACGGCGAGAAATTCGAGGACGAGATTAATCCTAATCTCAAGCATACTGGTGCTGGAATCTTGAGCATGGCAAACAGCGGGCCCAACACCAACGGCAGTCAGTTTTTCATTACGCTGGCCCCGACGCCGTGGCTGGATGGAAAGCACACTATTTTCGGCCGCGTCAAGAGCGGCATGAGGGTGATCCAGCGCATGGGACTGGTCAAGACAAACTCGGAAGACCGGCCTATGGATGAGGTGAAGATTCTCCGTGCCAGAATCGTGGAGGAGACAGGAGATGAGTGAGGGGGTCTTATAGCAGATGGTTATGGGCATTCATCCGCAAAAGCTATACAGCATCCTAGCAACAGCGGTCTTCAGATATGATACGGGCTGTTGGCATCGATGGCAGACGTTGGGACCGTAACTCAGCACTGCACTCTTCCGAGAGCAATGCAGAGCACGAGCAGCTGCGCGTTCATTACATAGCAGAGCCACGTCCGTCGAAACACTACAGTCGCCTCGGGTTGACGTCTGCAGCGCAACGGCAGCTTCATATAGAAACAGATTACAGATTAGAATAGGAATGTTTCACTACAAAACGAACCGCTTCCATCAGATGTTACCATCCGGAGCAGCAGATACAGAGTGAAATGTCTATCTACCACTCCTATAGCACAAGACCAGTGAAGGCTTGTACGAAGACGACGAAACTGCTACGAACAAGCAGTCTGCCTGTGCAGAGCACTAGGAGTGGTGTGAAGAAGGAAAGAAGCTCTGGTTGTGGGCGAAATCCTCCTTAAGCGGCTCCCGTTTGTTGAGTCTAGCTTCTTTCGGAATAGTCATATTCATTGTAGCCTCAGGCAACAGTTGCAACGAACGGTAAATATAGCTTTAAAAAGCTGCAATTGCATGGATGTGAGGTTAATACCGGGCCAAAAAAGCTGCATAGACTGTTTAGCTACTGAATTCACTCTTGTGTGTTCTGTCTAAGAAAAGGAGGCTCAACGCTCATACTGAAGCCAATTGGGTTGATACTATTAGTAGAGACCAGGGCTCCATCAACACTGGTAACTCCCTGGTGCTGCATGAAAAAGGAATTTATGCTATGTAGAGCCAGATGCTAGTAGGTCTACATTCATCGAGCATGTAAACGTTCAATGTCTGTTGCTTCCTCACCTTAGGTCTTCAATAACGGTTTAGCTAAGTACGTAGTCACGTGGTGGGCCAATGCGGGTCCCGTATTTCTTCGCGTGTCCCTCGATTTTCTTTTCGTTTCTGAAATTCTTTCTCGTCTTCAGCGCATGATCTTCAGTCCTCACCTATGGGCTGAAGAGACTTGCTACAAACGTCTCTAGGAGCTTGTGACCAAATGTGATGCTCGCTGAGCTTGCTCATCAGACATCGATAAAACACTAAGCCCCTCCATCTAGCTTGCTTGCAGTTCGGCCGTCATCACTATGGAATCCCTCGCGGACACGCCATGGGACGTGACGATCTCTGGCACTGGACTGGCCCAGTCACTTCTAGCTCTGTGAGCTACCTTCAGTCAATGCTGTATTTGCTTACAGCTAACGTCTCTTGCCAGGGCCCTTTCCAGGTCAGGTAAGAACGTTCTCCATGTTGACAGGAATCCATACTACGGTGGTCCTGAGGCAGCTTTTAGCCTTCAGGAAGCCGAGGAGTGGGCTGCTAAAGTGAACGAGGGTAGGAGCTCCCCTGTCTAAGCGACCCCATGGCCCCTGCTGACTCGTGTGGGTGAGCTAGACACCGGGGAGCTCCCATTCGAACATGCTAGCGTCTGCTCCGAAAGCTCCGGGGATTCCACGGGTCAGCTTGCGTCCTCTCGAGCATATACCCTCTCCTTGTCGCCGCAATTGATCTACTCCCGATCACAGCTTTTGCCTACCTTGGTTTCCTCCAAGGTCTACCGGCAATTGGAGTTTCAAGCTGTGGGAAGCTGGTGGATCTACAAGCCTGAGGCTGACGATAGTAGTCGTCTCTATCGTGTCCCTGGCAGTCGGGAGGATGTCTTTGCGGACGATGTGATCAGTATGAAGTCGAAGAGAACTCTAATGAGGTTTCTTCGTCATCTTGGTCAGGCTCAGGAGAGTGGGGATGTGTCGGAAGGACCGGATCCGTCCTCGGAAGAGGAGGGTCTTACTGCACCCTTCTCTGAGTATCTAGCCACGAAGTTTCAGGTGCCCACTGAGCTTCACGGTCCCTTACTCTCGCTCTGCCTATCACAGGCTGCTCCTCACCAGACATCGGCCCAATATGCCCTCCCACGCATCAAGAGACACTTGTCATCCATTGGTGTGTTTGGTCCCGGCTTTGGGGCTCTCTCGGTCAAATGGGGCGGTGGCTCTGAGATTTCTCAGGTCGGTTGTCGCGCTCTTGCCGTGGGAGGTGGTGTGTATGTCCTGAATACTGGCGTCAAGTCTATCGGACCTTCACCAGAGCAAGAACCCGATGACCAGTCGCGCATACAGATTCAATTGGCCAATGATGAATCGGTCAAGTCCCGGTACATTGTTGGCTCGAATTGGGATCTTCCTGCCGCATCTCGCCCTTCTCTGGAGTGCGACAAAGTGGCTCGATCCATCTCCATCGTCTCATCTTCCCTTGCGGACCTTTTCCCTGTTACTGCAGAGGGTGGACCAACCCCTGTTGGAGCGGTGGTGGTATTCCCGGGAAGCTCTGTTGGCGGTGCTGATGATGCACCACCGGTGTACACGATAGTCCACTCCAGCGAGACGGGCGAGTGCCCTGTTGGACAATGTAAGCTACCACATTTTCTTCTGCGTCTTCCCCCCCCTGCTCATATGATGACTTTTCTTCAAAAACTTATCTACATTGCCTGATACATCATTGATGCAAACTTCTACGAACTGATCATGAGCTTTCACTTTTTTCAATTTTATGCAAGTTACATTGTCTTGTGACATGTTGCTAACTGTTTATCAGGCGTTGTGTATAGTAGTGTCAGCATACCCGGTTCAGAAGGACAGTCAATGATTGAAGCTGCTGTGCAAAAGCTTCTCCTGTCGGCTGCCGATCCGAACACGAAAGTCCTGTGGTCCCTGCGTTATACGCAGCTGGGCCGAGGCGCCTCCCACAACGGTGATCTAAGCTGCCCGTCGAAGAGCGTCATATGCCTCCCGCCTGTCAGCCTAGACCTTGCTTTTGATGACTCTTTGATCGACACGGTCAAGAAAGCCTGGGAGCTGATCATGGGGGAGGAGGCTGCTCAGCACGAATTCATGAAGTTCGAGGACCGAGAGGGTGCCTATGAGGAATGATGTGGGTTGCAGAGCAACCCGCATGTAAATATGCTGTAGTAATGATTTAGATAAGACCATTCACAATGATAATTTATTACCAAGGCCACTACCGTGTCATGTGTCTTCCCTTATAGTAACCTTGAAAGAATGCTGTATCCCTTTCCAATCCATGTGATCATGCACTCCGCTTTCTGCAACACCTTGCCGTGTGTAACTTCCTACATTTGTAACCATACAGCCCGTGTTTACACAAGCGGACCGTTGGGTTTCAACCTCTGTCGTACAGCCCACGACCCTTCATACCCTCCGAGCCAATGCAACGCAGGTTGGCTCGGGAGCTCAGCACTTTAATTGTTTCTTCCCGTTTCAGATTCAAATTACCCGCTGTTTCTAAGACGGTCTTTTTCGCGTTTCACTTTCTCCGGTCATCCGTATGTCATGCATAGAAGTATCAGGAACATGAAAGGGTCACAGACCTCCTATGAGTTACATGTGAATAAAGATAAAACATATACGAGTGGATTTGTTATTTTCCTACCAGAGACGAGGTTATTCATACCCAACCTATTAGAATGACAGCTAGTAGATGTAAGACACGCCATAGATGGCTAGACTAGGCTACATCCTCAGCCTTGCGGCATAGGTGTCTGTCAGCTACTATCTCCCAATTATACATTTCCCACTACATCACCGGCAGTATGATTACTTCCATTACTCTATTTCCCCCTCTCAGTGTCAATCCAAATAGCCAGCCCACTGTCATTGACACACGCCTTGGGCAAGCATAGTATTTATCTGCAAAAAGTCCTTACTGCGCATGAAGTTAGCATAGGATTGTTTATAGACCAGGACCGCATATCATAAGCTTCCCGGCTGCTTGGACACCAAGTACTCAAAGATCATCATGTCGCTTGGTACTGGTGTCGGTGATATACTGGCGTGTGCAAGACATGCTTATAAGCTCTACCAAGAGATGTCCAAAGTACATGGCTCCTCTAGAGAGTACTGGACTTTGTCTTCGCGGCTTCTTACTGTCCATAAAGTCCTCCTCCAAGTGGAACAACTCAGGGCGGCTTATCAGTTGACTCAATCAACCTTGAATGCCATTCGCTTCCTAGCGAGCAAGATGAGCGAGGCCATCAATGGGTTTGTAAACAGATTAGAAGGTATTCGTGCATCTCAAGCTAAAGGGTTTGGATTGGTATTGAAGTATATCGTCTCAACGGGTAAATCATCTTCAGAGATGACAGATGAGGTTAGTTCATCAGTTTATCGACATATGCTATTGAAGTTCAATAACTAAATCTATTATGATATCGGCTCAGAGATTATCTAGCATCCTTCATTCTAATCTGTTGTCTTTGGGTAGCCTCTTACGGATGGCTTGCTACTCCAAGTATGTTGTGTCTATGGTCGAGGGGAAAAATGCTAATATTCCTCTAGCTCTGATGATAATGCTTGGAAAAGTGCAACTGTCACTCCAAGATGGATCGATGAAAGGTCTGAGTTTCCACATGTTAGGCTAAGCGCAATGATCACGGGAAGGGATACATGTTGTGCAAGACCTAGTAAGTACTGGTACAATCTGCAATGTGTACTAGCTAATGAACTTCTTAGATTTCGAAAAGGTTACCTATCCTAATGACTTCTTCCGACCTGGGCGGGTATTTACCGTGGCCATACGAGGAATATTGACAGCCACAAGAGATGAAGACCTCGATTGCACGCATCTCCCTAGAACATGGATTCCATTGGAGTCCATTCCAGACCCGTGTGAACGCGAGAAAGAGCGACTTACCCGACAGATGAAGAATTACGAGGACGTTATAAAGCTTCCCTTGCCAGCAATGTTTCAATAGGGCGAGGTTCAAGAGAATGGACAGGTTAAATGCCATTTGTGCCCAGGTGACATTCGATTCCCAAAGAACTTCTGGGTTGACAGACACTTCAGAATATACCATCATGAGATGTTTAAAAAGCTGCACGATGTATCGAGTCTTGACGAAAGGAAAGGTTATATAAATCTAGATGAGATGAGCACCGTTCGCCCTGTTCTGTCCGAGTCAGAAATTGAAGAAATGACTGTCAATGAATATAACCTTCCCACCTGGAATATGGACCCTTGGGTAGGAGCCATCACCATTCGCCGTTTTGTGGTCGTCCAGCAGGGTACTAAATCCTGCCTTTGTCTGGGTATACATACGTGAGACCCCTTCATCTCAAAGAGATTCCGATTTCATTACATCACTTTGTTGACGAATATCGACACAGTTACTCAGGAAGAGGATGTTCGGATCAACCAGATCAGGAGCTATATGCTAATCTCTACTCATCGAAGTACATTCCCGAACCATTGCCAGAAGAAACAAGAATGAACAGTCAGCCCATACGCCTGAAACTTGAGCAGCTATCAACAGTACTGCCCAGCGCCGCCCGCATTCACTTCGGCCGCGTCTATGAGATCAAGCATGATGTGGAATTGAACAATGTTGGTTTGGTCCATGGCTCATCCATGGATATACTGTCGTCACAATTCGAATACCATCGTCCGATAGATACTCCGAACGGTGTAGCATCTTCGCCGGACAAGGATCAGGCAGGTACTCCTGCAAATGACACAGTCACACAGACTGATGTTAAGATTGAGAAATGAGCTGTGACCGCAGTGAATCGGTCTACAATATCCTTGGGTTCTTGGGTATGTTTCTGAGGTGTTAACTAGAACTTTATATAACCACATCATCTCTTCATACGAATACTACTATGTCATGCATGTAAAATAGCTATTTTGTATTTAGCAGGACTGTTAATATGTTATCAGCCGCCATGCAAGGGGGGGGGGGGATTAGCCTTTCCTGAAGAGAACCTGAAATACCAGTTCATCATTACCGTTGTACAATCATGAGGTCTGTCTGACTATGTCAGCAAGCCCCTGTCAGTGATGGTACTGTCATCAGTACTGCTTCAAACAGACCCCCCTGGAAGTACCTGAGGACATGTGTCATAATAATACACTTATGAGTGTACATATGGCATTTATATTGCACACACACTCTCTCTCCTCTCTCTCTATCTTTATCATTGCAGCTTCTATGCTACTCAACGAAGTTACTAGCGATATATATGCAACGGTATGAGCAGATGTCCCAAAATGTAGGAGTCAAGTATACACTACTAGCACTATACTCTATTAGTACTGACCCCTCATCCCTAAATCAGTGCCTCCACAATGGATAACGTGTTTGAGTAAGTCTACATTGTGAACTTCAGGAGCTCAATTGCATCATTCGGTACTTGTGAACGACTACGTATGTTTATTTCCTGGTTTACTATGAAACCAGGTGTAGAGCATACGAACATATGTATAGTCCCTAGATTATATGCCCTCCAAGTACTTAATAACGACATCAACAATATCATCTTAAATTCAAATTTACACTCTCAACTAGTAATAAGTGACAGCCCGATTCGACCATCTACCTACCATGTCGGGTAATATATCACACCAACTGACATCTACATCAAACACAATCAATCAACCATCATCTGATCTGCTCCGACAGATGCACATTAAAATATATACACGATCATACTGATCACAAATCATACAACAACAAACAAAGTACATCAAAAAGAGAATAATCTACATCTCACAAAACCAGTAGATCAAATATACACACTCTGTTTCAGATCACATAATTAACCCAGTACTCTCAATCCCCCCAAAGCTTATAATATAACAGTAACAGACCACAAGCCAATTAATCCAAAGATCTACACCGCAAATAACCAAACTAATAAATCATTCTGAGACATTTACCTTACTTGCCCACTATCTATCTATCTACCCGTTTTGAGACAACACAATTTTCTTACCCACAATTCATTTCCTCGAAATCTTGAATCTGAAACGCTCTATCGGCGGGCTAAGATCCTATAGTCCACGGGTAGATTAACGGACTAGATACAAAGTAGGCTAATCGGTGTTCACTTTAATATCGCTTAATTTCCGGGTTCCTACTCCTTCTAGATAGTCCTTATCTGCAGGTTAAATTGGCAAGTTGGGTGATAGTAGAGGGATCCATTTCTTTTCTTTTCCTTTTTTTTTTTTTTTTTTTTTTTTTTTTTTTTTTTTTTTTTTTTATTTATTTTTCTATTCTTTCTTTGTTGTGATATGATGCTAATGCAGAGGCGTTGGAAGGCTCTCTCTCTCTCTGGTTTGGAGAAGAGAATGTCGAATGTTGAGACGCGTGTACATTCATTTATTCATAAGTATTATTTATGTATACTCATTATGGCGGAATATGGCATCATTACTTACTATCTACTATGATAACTATACCACGGTTCTGGCCAGAGTGGTCTTCTTCCTCCTTTCCAAGCTTTTATTTATTTTTCTCGCTTTCGGGCTTTGATTACTACTTTAGTGGCCGATTGCATGCTCGCGGCAATTGGCCTATCAGGATAACGGGTGACCGTTGGTGGTGGACTTGCAGTAAAAACTATTATCGACTAACCAGGTGTCCGTATGAGTAGTGTGAAAACGCTGGCAAACTATGCAGGTGGTTTTTTTCGAATTGAGTCGGTCTGTTCCATGACGGGCTAATGTTTTTTTGCCCAGGGTTCCCGGATACGCAGAAGGCATAGCGTGACTCCATCTAAGGAACTTGCTGGATGCCGTTCCGTACTCTACCTCATTCAGGTGGCTTGGGAAGAACCGGGCGTCGGAAAAGAGCGACATGGACCCTGAACGGAGGACCCTCCTCTCTTCCAATTGATGTCATTGTTCGTTTCCCTTTGGACATTGGATCCATAACTACGGAGTGCTATCGTCCTTTTGCGGTAAGAGAAGGACGGCAGTCGAACCTGAACGGGTGCACATCCTTCCCTAAACAGCGACGGAGGCCCATAATGGTGTGCTTGGCATCTCGGCTCTGGGTGAACAACACTGGACCGAATGGCGATGGCTGGATGATGATCAGGGGGAGGGAAATGCTTACATTGGAGTTTAGAACGCCCATCTGGGATGCAATTACGATTGGGGCTGGGCAGTGAAAAGACTGACGAATGGTTTGCAGTAAACCAGTTGGAAATCCTGGGGAGAGCTGAACTCAATGCCACAGGACAGCTGGATGTATCATGCATCTCATGCACAGAGATTGTTGACAGAGTGTCAGGGTCCATCAAATGGGTGTGTAGGTGACAGCTGCCAAGGCTGGCGTTCAAGCTTAATTGTCCGGCAATGTTTTTTTAGCGAAGTTGGTCATGCTTGCGAAACGACCACAATGTCGATCCCTCTCTCCTTCCTTTCCCTGCCGTGCGCACGGTAGGAAGAAACGTTTGTGTGAAATAAATTGTATCTACGGAGTAGACTGACTACTCAGGTGTTCACGATGGCGCCAGCCCGGTCAATCCTGGATGGATGAGGGGGGGCGGCGACACGATTGCTGATGGATGCCTGCGATTGGGTCGGATGATGTCGCAAACATTTTACTTTTCTGCGCCCACTTGCAGTTTGACTGGGGTTTACCCCTCCGCGGATACGCAGCTTGAACAATCCATCAATAACAAGCTGCCGAGTGACGAGGGGAGAAAGTATCAGGTACGAAGTACGCGCGTCCGGACGGGCTGTTCAAGGCGGACGTAACTTATGGGATTGCAAAATTTCCACTGAAACGTGGGTGGTTGGACCAGCTGACGGGCAGTAACAGAACCACTTTCAACCAGAGGAACCACCAGGTACAGGCCGAGAGTCTGGAGGCAATCCGCTCAGCCCATGTCCACTCATGAGGCTCAACCACACGGCCACACTTTGCCACTCTCCAAAACTCGTGGAGCAGTTATTCAGTTGGTGGTGGCACTATACATAGAACAAAAAATCAGAGGATGTTGGTCCTAAGAATTGGATGGGATTCGTCTGTAAAACCCCAGTACGTGGCAATGGAAAGGCAGCTGAAAATCAAGACCAACAGGATCACGGAAGACTCCGCTGTCCGGATCTGAGGGTTTCTATCCGACACTAAGTAGATGCGTCGAGGTAAACCCTGCCGACCGGTGGATGTGTTAAGGCAAGCCCAGCCCAGCAGTAGAGTGGTGGACTGTTAGTCTATCGGCCTAATGCTGAAGAGCGAAGGTACCTTGTTGTGGTCAGTCTTCCACTACCAATCTGAATGGTCCGCACGTTGGTGGCCATGACGAGCCTAGTTTCACTTCCGCGGACACCACTGGACTGAATCAGGGTATGAGCTGATACTATACCCGATACACCGTGACTACGGGGGAAGAGGGAGAGCGAGCGTCAAGAATAGGAGAACGGATGGTTGGATGGAGAAGGGGAGGGAAGGACACGCGGCCCGTGGGGCCACCGGCCCAGCGAGCCCCTAAAGGGTCTTTCCTCACTGGCTGAAACGGCGGGCAACCGCGCAGATCGAAGTTTTCCATCTTTTTTAGCTGCACCAACCAGCCGGTTGGTTACTCTGTAAGGCGTTCTGACATTCGACAGGGTATTACACCCTGTTTGTGAAGTTGGAATATGAATGAATGGACGGATTAATGTCTTAGGCGCCGGACATGGATATGAATGCGCATGCGGATCTGAAGGTGTGAAAATGGGTGTGGTGGGCGCATTCGCTGTCTGCATTAATACTTTGTGCTATCAGCGTGTCGGGAAAGAAGAAAGAGCGGGATGATAAGAATAGCAGTCCGCCCGAGATGGTCCACCCGCTGGAACATTCCGAGAATGTATGGAGGATTGATGCTGGAGTCCAGAAGCAGCCAGAGACCAGCTGTCATTTTATCCGTACCACCACAAACATCATGGAAAAGAATAAGAAAGGGAAAAAGACATACAGTCTTTCGTATTACCAAGAGTGTTCAGTTTAAGATAGACGAGCAACGGTGATCACTCTCTTGAACATTCCATCATGAAGGCTACCAGGTCTCTCTAGTAACCAACCTAGTAGAACGGGATTGCCTCAAAATGGTCGACGCAAGCTTAGAAGCATAACATTTACAAATACCAAGAGGGAGTCAGTAAGGCAGAAAAGCCGGAGAATAATGAGCCTGAATAGGATTTCCGGTGATGTTCTATTTCTGTAGACCATGTTGATTTCTCCGGGAGGCGCTTGATTGATCAGTTGACTCTGCTGTAGGGACTTCTGCGCATCCATGTGGTACTTGGAGGATCTGGACGGAGATACGCATCCACGCATGTACTGTACATCGAAGAGGGGAGGGAGGGGGAAAACAAAGCCTGGGGAAATGCATTGACTTCTTGAGATCTGTCAACTAATATGATTCGATGTATCGGGGCATTCCCTGGATCTACTACTGTCACAGAATGATATCCTGAGACGCGGAGGCATCATACTATGCCATTGACGATGGATTGTTTCGTGGAGGTCGAGATGGAGACGAAGACGAAGACGACGACGACTGTCAACGCGTCGAGGAATGAACGGCCGCCGTTTCCGTATCACAAGTTCGCAAGGGTCCGAAATCCGAGATTGAAAATTACCCGCCACCGGCCGGGTGGAGCAGTGAAGATCCGCCCATCGACATTCTTCCTTCAGTCAGGGATCGGCATCAAGAAATAGGTGGGTGGTGGGCAGTGCCGTGTTCAGGAAACTCACACAAATCTCGTCCAGAGGCAGGAACAGCTATGATTCTTGAAGCGCAAAGAAAGAGCGTAAGAGGTGGCAGGAAAGGTGTGTGTGTAAACAAAGCAGGATACTGTAAAGAGAAGAGAAAGAACAAAAAAGAGAGAATACAGAAGATTGAAATGGAAAGGAACAGTAAATAACTTGGCATACAGCGGGAGGCGTCAACAGGCCGAGCATAAGAACACTAAGCATCATCGTGGTGTAAATTCTGTAAATTCCTCGTTAGGAAGTCGAAGACAGTGAGTGAGCATTATTAGGATTATTATTTTTTTTTATTTCAAGATAAAAATAATCATCTATCGCCCTCCTCGATCCGGGCCAGCTGGTGTTTTTTTCACCTCATCTGATACTTCTCTCTCTTGCTTTCTCTTTTACCTTCCTCTCGTTTCTCTCTGCCGTGCAACACTTGGCTGCTGCTTGTCTTAGAAAAAGGAAAAGGAAGCAAAATAACTTCTCTGCAACTTGAAGAGACCCCTTCCGTCGTTTAATCTGCCCGGCAAGAAACCAACAGCAAGAATCAGCCAGACCAGAGACGGGCTGAGCTTAATATTTGCAGATTAAATTACCCAGTGGAGGAGCTTTGGCCCCAGCCCAACCCGTGGTCCAGCATTCGGCATTCCCACTTGGGATCGCTCCCAGTCGCCTGTCTCTCCTGTCTTCCGCCCTCATCTTCTTCCTCTACTTCTCGAACTCTTCTCCCCCCCTCCGTATCCTTCTTCCCCTTTTCCCTTTCCTCTCGCGACATCCTCAACCCCTCGACACTCAGCGCTCGTCTCCCTCCTCTTGTTCTCTCTTCTTTGAGCCCTCGACGCACCGTCTGGTCGCGATTTCGTCGGCCTGTTCTCTTTGGGGTTTTTTCTATTCTCCTCGCTACTACTTGTTTCCTGCGGCTTTCTGCCCCCCATAATTTCTTCCGGGGCTTCTCACCCCTTTCCGTGACCGTGTCGCAGGTCTCGACGCTGCCAGCCTTTCGTTGACAGTCTACCAGGCAATAGAAAAAATTTTCCTGCTCAGGATCAGTTTTCTATCAGCCAATTCCACTCTTTATACCATATTTCCATACGTGACGACTTGCGAGAACGGTTCCAGTGACGACAACCATTCGTTTCCGGTTGACGTGCTTTTGAGACGAGAGAAAAATAAAATTTAATAAACTCGTCACCGACTTCTACAATCTCACATGTTCAAGAATACTCATAATAATACCGCCAAAATGCCGATGTTCCGTATGAAGACGGTTTTCCCTCTGATCGCCCTTTTCTCGATTGGGTTCTTTTTCTGGTGCGTCGAGCGCTTCGACCAGGCTGCCCTTCTGCGTTTTAAGCATCCAGCCGATCGCGTCGCTGGTTCAACCCCGCAAATCCAGTTGCAACCGACACCCCCATCCAAGGCCTGCGACGTGGACCCTGGTCTTCAGGCTCCTCTGCCCTTCAGCGAATGGCTTCCTCGCAAGAACTACACCCGTGCCTACTTCCGTCCTCACCATGTGAGCCCCAAGACCGAGTTCAACTCGCTTGAGGATATCGAAGTCCCCGTGCTCCCTCCAATGACCGTCATGGAGCGTGGTATGGTCGTGTCGCCCGAAAACGAGGAACCCCTGCCTTGCCCTCCGATCATCGACGTCAACGTTGCTGCTGATAACGATGTGGACGAGACCGATAAGCTCCTGTTCGGTCTGGCCACCACTGCGGACCGTCTGGACCGTCTGCTTCCTTCCCTGCTGTACTCCTATGGAAACACCAAGGCTGGCTTGATTGTGCTTGTTCCGGAATCGGACGACGACATTCCCAAGCAGGAGGCCTACTTCCGCAACCGTGGCTTGGATTTGACCCTGATCCAGTCTCCTTTGGACTTCACTGCTCGTTACTTCGGCCTGGTCCAGGCATTCGCTGAGACCATCAGGACCAAGCGCCCTCAGACTCAGTGGGTCAGCTTCATCGATGATGACACTTTCTTCCTGTCCTTGCCGACCATCGCTGAGGAACTGAAGCTCTTCGATGTGAACAAGAAGCATTACATTGGTGCCCTGTCTGAAGCTAGCTGGCAGGTGGATACTTTCGGCCACATTGCTTTCGGTGGTGCTGGTGTTTTCGTTTCCAAGCCCCTCCTCGATGTTCTGGAGGAATACTACGATGAGTGCCAGTCGTGGGGTGAGCAGCCTGGTGACCAGAAGCTCGGCCAGTGCATCCAGAGATATGGAGAGACCCCTCTTACCCTCTGGCCCTCTCTGTACCAGATGGACATGAAGGGTGAGGTTGACGGTGTCTACGAGTCTGGCCGCAAGATCGAGTCTCTGCACCACTGGAACAGTTGGTACACCAAGGATGTTGTTAAGATGACCACTGTGGCTGCCGCTGCGGGTCGCCGCTCGGTTCTGCGCCGCTGGGTCTTTGACCAGGAAGAGATTGTGAACAACGCTACTGGTCGCTCCACCCGTACTTTCTGGGTGTTCACCAACGGATACTCGCTCGTCAAGTACACCTACGATGAGAACACTCCTGATGATGCGATCAACTTTGACCACACTGAGAAGACCTGGGAGGAAGACCCCCGTGGTTACGAGGCCCGCCTGGGACCCCTCCGCAACCGTGATCAGGAAGGTGTCACAAAGGATCGTTGGTTGTTGCGTGATGCCTTCGTGGTTGGAGACAATGTGCACCAGTGGTATGTGCGTGAAGAAGACGAAGGCCACAGTGTGATCGAGATCGTGTGGCTCGGCCCCAAGGGTGGTGGCGGTGCCGGCGTCCGGGACTTTGGAGTCCGGAGGCAACATCACTAAAGTCCTTGGTCATGCAACTCAATGAGAGACCAGACGACCGATACTGAGGCTGGCCCTTAGGATCTGTGAAGCTTTTCGATTCTTGCACATTCTTCATTCCATTCCTTTACACTTTTCCAATTCCTTTTCTTCCTTTTTATTCTTCTAAACTTGATCTTACTCTATATTTTCCTACGACACCACAACACTAAAGAAACAATCATGCCATTCTACACGGCGACAAGGAAAACAAGAAAAGTGAAGGTGGTGCGGGAATGTATCTCTTTCGGTCACCGAATCCTTCGGCCTCCCTGTTTTTGATCGATCATTTGCCTGGCGTTGTATTGGCGGAGTCAAGAATGGCGCAGTCCAAGATCGGAACTGGTGGTTTTCAGCGAAGAGCATACCTCGTTTGAGTCTCCCTTGATTGACCTGGCTACGAGCTCGTGGGATGGAATAACTCATATTCCCGCCCGGGGCCCATTGCTCACGACCCGACATATCCCATTCCCTTATTTCTCCCATTTTCTTTTTTTTTTGCTGGCTTCCTGTCGAGGGCTGCTTTCTTGCATCAAATTTTTTGTAAAAATAGAATTTTGCCGGCCGAGCCGCGGTCGCTTGCTTGCTTTTGGAGATTAGCGCATTCGTCGTTATGGCAGAATATCACGAGTTCAAAGTCTTAGATTAGGGGGAAGATTATCTGTTAGTTATTAGCAATAGACCACGCACGCATGCTGCGGAATAATATGACTGGATTCACTGGAGAAATGTGTTCGTAATAGGTGGTTCGATTGATTGCGTAGGTCAGTTTGATGCTTGTTTCATGTAGAGTCAGTCAGTCACTAGCAGCCAGGCAGACAGCATTGTACTCGGCAGTAGCACATTACCAAGCAGTAGCAGTACTCTGCATCGGCAAAAGTACGAACTCACCAGATCAGATTATTCATATATATGTAAACGGAGAAGTGTGAGAGGGAATGGATGATAAGTACCAACAACCAACCAATCCACCAGACAGAGAGACAAACAAACAACCATCCATGATGATCGTACATACATGCATACGACCTTGTGTAGCATTCCCATCATGCCGTCTAGGCCAAGCCAAGTACTACCTACGTACATAGGCTTTTTTTTTTTTTTTTTTCAAAAGCATGTATTCTACGCAGCGGTTCTTTTTCTAATTGTAGTAACTCAATGAAACTCCCCAATCGGATCATTTCCTACTAACTTACTTGCTCAGTGAGTGGCTGGCTGGCTGAGTGGATGGATGGGATAGATGGGATGGACATATGATGGGGGTGTTGGTAGTGTAGGTGAGGCTGATAGATAGTTATATTTGGTGACTGAATCAGCTGTGTAGGTGGTCGTGAAAGAGAGGCACGGGCAGTGAGTATATAGTACGTAAATGAAGAAATATGATGGATTTGAAAGTAGGATAGTATATTGAGTCTCTGCGAATAGCACACACACACACACACACACACACACATGGACGTAGATAATAGTCATTCCTTGAAATAATGCCCAGCTGCTTAATCAATGACTCAATGCAAGACTTAAAACGTCAGCATCAGCAAGATGATTAGAAATACAAAGAGCTGAAACCTGCGTACTTTGTTCTTTCCATGATTCTAATCCACATCGAATAATAGTATTGTGTGTGTCTCGTATTCCTCATTGTTATCACTATGAGGTTACATCCATCCATCCATCCACACATCACACCCATCACATCCATCACGCTTCTACCCAATCGAGTTCGAAAGATGCTAAATCCTCACAGGGCTGAGAATGAACACACACCACCTAATCCTGTAAGGGACACATCTGACGTCGGTCTCTTAGTTAATGATTCAGGGAGCTTGAAGTTACATCTGGGCGGCCTGAAACTTAATCCGATTTGATTTTTTCTTTAACTACTGGGCAAGCCTATCATGTAGGATATATGGAAGTTTGCTGGAGAAGGATGATGATGATGGTGGTGATGGATATTAGGTTTCGGGGGCCATGTGACGGAAAGGTAAAGCTACTTTAACCGGTTTGGGGGGCTGTTTGGAGTTGGAGAATCAGGGTGTAGGTTGCTGTTTCATAGGTCATGTTACTTTTGGGGTATTTCGTCGAGAGACGGAGAGAGAGAGTGTGTGTGTATGATGCTTATGGATGATACCATTGTGATCAGTGGTAGGTAGGGGATGAAGAAAAAGTCATATGTGGGTGAGATTATGTTGATCATGACGATGGATGGAGTATATTTTTCTTCTTCTCTTGCTTGCATGACCTGTATGTAGCAGGGAAGGTTATCTGGGATGGATGGTGCTAAGGTTCGACTTAGTATCTTGGAGTAGTAGGATTTGGTAATGTGCTGAGAGAGCTGAAAGTGCTAAGCTTTGATTGCTTAGAGTTCAGCATGGTCCTTTCTCTCGCTCTGAGTGAGCTGAGGATAGAACTTAAAAGAGGAGAATGACACGAGGGATAAAACCTCGTGGAGAACTTAGAGAGTGTAAAAAGGTAATGAAGTAATTGAAGCAAAGGAAACGGTATGAAATTTAGTCGGATTGATGACTGATCAGTGATTGATATAAATTGATGCAGCCGGTGCAGAAGATTATCAGTTACCGGGCGGGTCTCTATTGGTTTTGGAGGGGAATAATTGGGGTTATCCTTGCTGATGGGGGGATGCCAATGATGGGGGAAGGAAATCCCAGCTGAATTGAACATTTGTATTAAATTAGTTCTAGTCACCTGTTTGCCATCTTACTATATATAGTTAAGAATTTCCAGGGTTGGGCATGTCTGTGCTGAAGGATGAGGCTGTTAAGAGTTTCTGGTCTTAGGAGTGACAGAGTGGACGTTAACGCCGAAACCCTATGATTTAGATTAAGTTGTCAGCGTTGAATTCAAAAGAGGAAACTCTCTTCGTGCGTAAGTAAAATGTACGTGACGAATTACTGAGTTTGGATCGAGTCGAGTCTTTCAGTTTCTTCAAACGCCACCGGGGTTGCTGAGGGATGCATCCGTCCGTGAGTTAGTACTTTTATGGGGAGAAGGATGATGGTGAATACTAGTTACATACATGCATACGAGATGGATGGATGGATGGATTGATTGATCAATCAATCAATCAATCAATCAAGCAATCAGTCAAATCAATGAATTGATTCAATAGTACGGGCATAGTTATGCTTACTCACTGCCCTGAAAGTACGAAAAGGTACAGTAAGTGAGAGAGAGAGAGAGAAAGAATGTGTGTGTTGTGAGTGAGTTGGTAATCATCTACACCATCGACTATATGCACTACGCGTCTCTCCCCTTGGCCAGTTCTCACTAAAAGGTTAAGTAGATAGACTAAAGAATAGCTTCGATACTACCAAATACGCCCCAGCTGCTGTTTGGCTTGGGGGCCAGTTACTACCGTAGTAGTAGACCGGCAGGGCACACGGGATGGACATGGAATGTTCGCCGCCACTCTGCCCACATCCTAGTTAGTCAGTGAGTACATCATCCAACAACCATAACCCGGTTTGATCTGGTCCGAGTGATTTTATTGATCATTATTAGGGGATGGCGAACCACTTGTGTGCATTAAAGTCTTTGTGGGAGAGACAAGGCCAGTAGAATCAGTGGTTCACAAACCACCTTGATGAATGAATGAATGAATGAATGAATGACTGCGTGATGGAGGGTCAACTAAGCTTTTCCCCATTTGCTCTTGAAGGAAACGGAAAGTGACCCTTTGAGGGGGGAGGGGGGGGTTTGCCGTAATATTACGCGGTATGGGTGGGGAATGTGAGTTGGCCGCCGTATCGAATCCCCAATGCCTCACTGCGGCTAGGCCAATAGTGGCTCGGGCCAAGCCTGAGACTTTCCCCACCGTCGGGTCTGGACAAAGGTTGTATTGTGACGGAAAGATTGGACGACCAGGGTGAGGAGTAAGTGAGAGGGAAAGTGAGCACAGAGTGAGAGTAGGGCAAAATTATATGAGGTAAGTTATGTCAGTCAAAAAGAAAGGAGAAATACATACCCTACTCCCATATGAAGCAATATCAAAAGTACAAGAAACGGCAGAAAATAAGCTGGAAAAGGAGGTATGCTGAGAACTTGGTGAGGAAAAAAAGGGAAAGCTTAAAAGAGGGAAACCAAAATAATACCACACGGGGTGTAAGGTACGGTCACAGCCACGTGACAGACCGCCTGCCTGGTCTGCAGCGGCACTTTGCCTTCTTCGAACTCCTCCTCCCCGTTTCTCTTTCCTTCTCGTCCTGAACCCAAACCCTGCGAAGCAAACGCGTTACTCGATTTGGTCATTCTCCCTCCCCCTCAAAAGCATCATTCCTCTTTGGGCATTCGTCTTCACGTCCCCCAGACTCCTTCCTTTCCTCTCTTATACCATTCTCGTCATTCACACTTCTTCTTTTTCTCCATTCTAATCTCCCCCTAGTCTCATCATGGCCGACATCACTGCCGTCGGTGAGGAGAACCCTTCTCCTACTCAGGACGACCTGCAGCAGGCCGCCGGTAACGGCGCCGCTGACAACCGCGGCACCAAGCGCTCTCGCATGAGCGCCGACGACGACGACGATGATGATGACAAGCCCGGTCGCGAGCGCAGAAAGATTGAGATCAAATTCATTCAGGATAAGTCGCGTCGCCACATCACCTTCTCCAAGCGGAAGGCGGGTATCATGAAGAAGGTGCGTGCTGTCGCGTCTCTACAGCCTCATTTCTCCCCTTCGTTATCGCCGTCAATTCTGTCGCCAACTTCAGTCTTTTCTTGATGCGTCTTTTCTCCTCGTTGTCAAGCTTGTTTTACACGTTCTCTGCGTGGAACTATTGCCGTCGGACCGGTGCTGACGCCTCAATGCGGTCGCAAAACAGGCCTACGAACTCTCTGTTCTCACAGGTACTCAAGTACTCCTGCTGGTCGTTTCCGAGACCGGTCTCGTCTATACTTTCACCACCCCGAAGCTTCAACCGCTGGTGACCAAGGCTGAGGGCAAGAACCTCATTCAGGTGAGTGCTGTGCCACTGCTTTCTCTCGTTCATTTGAGTCGAACTTAACGCGACTGACTCCGTTTTTCTATCAGGCCTGTCTGAATGCACCTGACCCCACTACCAACGAGAATGGCGTTGATGCGCCCGAGGTGCCGGCTGAGACGCCAGAGGATGTTAGCCACAGCAATGTCAACCCCCAACAGTCGAATATTCCCCGTCCCGCCGGTATGCACCCCGGCTACATGACGAACGAACAACAGCAGCAGATGGCCTACTACCAGGGCCTTCAGCAGCAACAGCAGGCAGGAGGACAGTATCCTGGCATGCCTGTGGGTAACCGGATGCCCCCCCAGCACCAGCCCACGGCGTAAGCGGTGGCTATGTGTCTTCATGCCCCGCGTTTTCAAGCACCTGAGGGGCCCAGGCAGTTGTTCGCATCCTTGTCAACTCCAGCGCGTGCAGCTTTCTCCTCTACGGCCTTCCTTTGATACCCAACGATTTGTTTCCAGACATAATTCATACTATTAAAACCGGTCTACAGTGTTGTACCGCCGCGCAACGCAGAACGAAGATCCGAGATATTACCTTATAGTAATCTGTGTATAGCCTGACTCGTTGGTATTGCAGTTTACACACTTGAGTCGCTAGCCTCGGTGTTCGCAAGATGACTCGTGCTATTTGTCGTGTTTCACCGAAGACCCTCCCTATAAAAGCCAAAAATAGCCAATGGAAAAAAGGGAAGAACAAAAAAACAAGAAAAAAGAAAAAGGAAATCGAAGGCCAGGCTGCGCGACTGAATCTTGAAGGATGCAAGAGACTTTGATCTGGGCTCCCCAGGCTATTAATTGTTTTTCTTCGTTCCTCACATCTCCTAATCCTTTTCCTAGACGACGGTGAAAGTGGCGGTGTTTCTGGTGCTTTTACCCTACTCTTTTTTTGTTTTCTTTCTTTCTCTATTCTTACTGGCGAAGTGGTTATCTGTTTTGTCTTTCATAAATTGTTGTTTCCGTCTTGCGTTGACTAATTGACCTCCCTTGATTTCCACATGTGATTTATGCCCCCTTGCGCCAGGCTCGTCACTTGCGCTTTTCCCTCCCCCTTCGACAATGATCCTTGGCTTGCGGGCAAGTTCTGAATGACGGCTCCGGAAGCAAGAAGGGGGAGAGGGGGGCGTGAGTCACGAGACAAGTTGGACGCAGAAATGGGGGGTGTTATTTGATTGAGTAACTTGATATGATGTTGGATGGATAACCTTCATCGGGTAAGAAGTATGTCATGTATGGTATGGAGAAAACCGGAACTATTATTATTTGTCCTTCTTCTGCTGCTACTCCTATGACCCTTTTCTCAATAGAGATAACTACATACCATACCAGTAGTCAGCAGCAAGTCGTAGATCATCACTCTGCCCCTCACCCGCTGCACCTTATCTATGGGTACATATATGCACATCGTCATCTCACCATCCATTGGGGTACATGGTTATTTAGTAGAAGCAAAGCCAGTAACTCATGTCTATCTACTTCTGACCAGAAAGAGCATCATAAGAAAACCAAGCTGATAAAAGTATATGATATATGCACAAGATAGGTAGTGAGTGAAATGAACTGATGAAATGAATGGAGTGATATATACTAGTATTCCAGCTCATCTCATCCTGTAGGAAGATCTCGTGACCTGGTATATGTTTATCCCCCCCCTCTCCCTCCCTATCTATCTATCTACCCACCTATCTATATCTATCTGGGTATCCCGTGACATGGCGATCCGGTTCTGTATGATGTAAGGACTAGGTATGAGGAGAAGTAAAAGTTATGAATAATGTAGGAAAAGTGGTTTTGGGAAGATGGAATGAATGAGATTTAAGTTTGTAGTTTGGCTTGTACTATGTATTGTAATTCTTATTTATTTGGGAAGAGGGGTTTTATGCTTCGTTTAGTTAGTTTCTAGGTAAGATATGAAGTGAAGTGAATAAGGAGCGATGCTATGTAATAAGCTAGGGGAATATGTTTGTTGGTGTATGTGTATAATAGACGGATAATGTTGGTATGGAAGTTATTGTACATTGATTGAAAGGAATCAAGAAGAGGGTTAGGTTATCATTGATGTGTATTTAATGTGTGGGTCTAGTGGATATGATCAAAAGAGTCTGGGGTAAAATTGGACTGTGATGAAATGGCGGTGCAGTAAGAGACGGAATGTAAATCTAATTTCATTCTGTACGTCCGTCGGGACTGGCTTCGAGGTCGGGGCCCGGACTGGATGAGCTTTGACGTCTTCCTCGATTGCTACCGGTCCATTGGGCGAGGTACTGAATACCGCTTCTCCAGGCTCCGCGGAGGGTGCTCCTCGGACCTGCGAGGAGATTCGAGTACCCAGCTGGTAATTCTGTGTCGGTGAGGGATTCGTGGCGACGATGCCCTGATACGAGGTTGTCTGAGCGGTCGTCCTGAGTGCCGTAGCCGGTTGTGTAGGGTTGGGGCTTCGAAAGGAGGTTGCGGTTCTCTGGAGCAGGTGCTGATGTTCGCCGTTGCTTGCTGCGATGTCCCTGATGTGCGGCTTGGGAGGATCTGCGCGGGTTCCAGGTATTTTGGTTGACTGAAAGGGTGCTGGAGCGGCGAGGTCCACGCAGGAAACTGCTTCTCATCCTGCTTCTTGATTGCGCCGATGGTGGATCTCCAAATGTGCGACTGCGCTTGGAGGAACGCATCATGGCTGCGGCATAGTCAAAGTCGGAGTCATCCAACTCTGCCCAGATGGAAGCTGGATCGAGATCTGCCGTGGAGTCCTGTGGACTCAAGGAGGACTGAGGTAGAGGCAGACTGGGTGCTCTCTTGTGAATACTTCGCCGAGGGATTTGAGCACTGCGTAAGAGGGGCTCACGCTCCAAGTCCTCGTGACCGTCTCTTCCCAGGCTAAGGGGCGAGGTTTCGTGCTCCTCGACAACAGCCATTCCAGGACCCAGGCCAGTCTGAGACGGTCCGACAACAGTCACAGCCGCATGACTGTCTATTACCTCTAAGCGCCATGATAAGCAAAGGACGCCTCCAAGTAAGACAATTGTTCCAAGCGATATCAGCCCAGCATGGAAGCCTGCCAGCTGGGACATTTGTCGGAAGTATATTAATCCATCTATGATGGCGATAATGTTATAGATGCAGAAGACAAATGGGTATAAGACACTGGTGCTGCATAGCTTCAGGCCCCGATGTAGATAGAATAGCTGAGAGAGGGCAAGGCCGATCATGGCGAGAAGAATGACCCAAGACTGCCAGCGATCGAATTGATTGACGCGATCCACGACCGTCCGAACAAGGAGCTCCACGGCTGATTTGGCGAGCAGAAGAGAATGCGCCGATAGGATTCCGCTGATCATGCCATAGCATAGACCGCGGATCAGTCGGACACGTCCGTGGGAAATTTGCAAGTGCGGCCTATATGAACCGCGTGGGTTGGGGTATTTAGAACGAGATGGGGAAGCTAGGAATTTCAGCAGGCGGGAGCCGAGATAGATGACCAGCACCAATACGGCCGTCCCTGCCATCCAAAGTATAAAATTTCGACGCTGCAATAGCTCCAAAAGCTGATCGAGAGTATGCGCTGGCTCCCCGACGGCGCCAAACAAAGCTATCAGGAGCGCGCCGATGCAGACCAAGACTGTGCCGATGAAAGAGTATCTGGTGAAGGCTTCACCCAGGATCAAAGTAGCAAAGATGGTATTGAAAACAAGCCCGGACTGGTATAACAGATATTAGCGGTGCCCAGAAATTCACTACCCGATCTAGGGATGTCACTGACTGCTTGAAGGGTTGAAAGCACCGGAAGCGGGAGAGTAGTTATCTGGATGGTGCTGCCGACGATGTTCGCAATGACGAACATCAGCATCCCCAACTACATGGAATCAGCAAGACCGGCTTATAGCGGAAGCATTGTATAGGGAGGAGCATGAGCTGACCTGCCATCTCCGACGTTTATAAGGCGGTCGACGTATATCGTACGGGTGTTTCTCGTCCTCGAGGATATGCGACTTGCGTTGGAGGGTCAGCCCGATGGCCTGGAGACTGGTCGAGATCAACCCGACAACCACCCCAACCTAGAAACGCTTTCCAGTTAGCACAGAAGCTCGATTGCCAATGAGACGAGAACACCGGAGGGGAAGAACAAACCGCGACACTCCCCTGGGGCGATAGGTCACCAAGATTCCCCATCTCGGATATCCTCGTGCATTGGTCGCTGAGCCGGGGGACAAAGACCAGACACGCATTAGACAGGATACGACAGGACTAGTAAGACTGACTCCATTGTCCAAAGACGACGTAGAAACCAAGAGAGAAAAGAGAAGACTAGACCGAACCGAATGGCTGTGGGGAAGAAGCAGCAGCAGCAGCAGCAGCAGCAGCAGTAAGTAGTAACTAGAGGGGGAAAGCGGGAGAGCAAGTGAGTTCCTGAGCGGCCGCCAAGTTGCGTTGCGAATCGATCAGCAGATCCGCCCAAGTGCAACGTTTCCCTCCGCTGCTCATTGTTGCTGCTGCTTGTCTCCCTGTATTATCTCCCCCACCCCAGTCACTCACCCTCCCCTCTCTATACATTCCTGCCGGTCCAGGTGAGTAACAATAGTTCCCGACTTGTTTTATTTCCAATAATATACCGGTCGCGATCCATGACCGTTGACTATTTCCACCCCCTTGATCTGGCGCAGTAGCAGGCTGACGTTGATTGACCGCCCCCCAAGAAAGGCACCTCCGCATCGGGAAGCTCAACTGACGTTGTCTCTCTTCCATACCCCCCACATATCGATACCCCTTCGCTCTCCCCTCTACATCTTCCCCGATCTATACAATTACTCCATCATCACCATGTCGCAAAGTCATGCGTTGTCCGATGACCAGGTATGTCGCCCGATCCTCGACCAGGGACCATGCATGTGCCCGCGCCCGAGCTGAGCTCATAACCGTTATCTCCAACCAGGTTGCGGGCGAGCTCCGCAAGATGACGGCCTTCATCCGGCAGGAAGCGCTGGAGAAGGCCCGCGAAATCCAGCTCAAGGCCGACGAAGAGTTCGCCATCGAGAAGTCCAAGCTCGTCCGTCAGGAGACTGCCGCCATCGACACTCAGTATGAGAAGAAGTTCAAGCAAGCTTCCATGTCCCAGCAGATCACTCGCTCTACTCTCGCCAACCGCACCCGTCTCCGTGTTCTCTCGTCTCGTCAGGAGCTTCTTGATGATCTGTTCCAGCAGGCTCGTGATCAGATCTCCGGTATCGCAGCTAAGGATGCGGAGAAGTATGAGGCTGTGCTGAAGGGCTTGGTTCTTGAGGGCTTGTACGCTCTCAATGAAGACAAGGTGTCTATTCGGGCGAGGAAGCAGGATACCGATGCTGTCAAGAAGGCTATTGAGGAGGCCGCGAAGGAATTCAAGGAGACCGTCGGCAAGGAAACGTCTGCGGAGCTGGACGAGGAGGAGCCGCTGCCTGAGGGATCGTGAGTCCCCTTTTCCCTTTCCCCTTTCCCCTTTCCTCTTTCTTATCTCCCAAATCTGCACTCATTATGATCTAACCTTTGTACTATAGTGCTGGTGGTGTCGTCATTATTGGTGGCCAGGGCAAGATCGAGATCAACAACACGTTCGAAGAGCGGCTGCGCCTGCTCGAAATCGACGCCCTCCCCGCCGTCCGCGAGACGCTGTTCGGCAAGAACACTAACCGGAGGTTCTATGACTAGACCAATTATATGTGTCTCTTGCCAAGCGAATTTACAATACCTGAACCTGTTTCGTCGTTGCAGCCTGTATCTATGTACTCCGGTTCTTTTTTCAGGAGAGCACCATAGCCTTGTATAAAGTTCTTCAATTCTTCCTATCAGAAATTCAACAGACTTCATCCCAGAACGTCGGTTTGCTTTGAATGTTTCGAGCATTTCGCGGAGGAAGATGGTACCGCATACTCTTAGTTTTTGCCGCAGGGGTAACATAGTAGATTCATGTATATATTGCTGCATAGCACTGAGTTGTTGAAGCCTAAGACTTTCGTGCATGTTTCACTATATCTATAGTATGACGAGCAACCCAATGTGGTTCAACTATATCACGCAACAAATTCCCAGCAAGGACCCCCAGGACAATAGCCGTAGGCTCCACAGGAACAATCAGAGGTATCCCGAACAAAACCAAGGAATAACAATGCTGTAGACATGAATATGTATAGACCAAGCCTGACGCCGCATATAATCATCTGTCGACTCCAACCCCGAGCCTAGCCATCGACCTCCTCGACCTTTTTATCCCTCTTTGATATTGAAGGTTCACAACGAGCACCTGGACCGGCCAGTGTGCACGCTAATGCCAACATCGAGACGTTTGAATGCATGACGTACCCCGACGAACCATCGTTATAATGAAAGATCAGCGTAGCCCGTTCTGCTTGATGAGAGAGCAGACTGTTAAAGACTACCATAGCAGGTGTTATATCTCGGCGGTAGCGACACATTAAGATGCTGTATCATGTGGCCGCAATGGCAGCTCATCGTTGCCTTTCGGAGGCTTGAAGAACGATTTGAACACGCCTTTGTTCTCTCTTCGCTCCTCAGGAACCCCGAGAATTGACTTTTTGGGACGTGGCTTTGACCTGACGGAATATACGACTCGATAATGTAGAGCCTCGATGGCTTCCTTGGCCAACGTCCGTTTCAAGTGGGAGGCACCCGAGTCCTCAATGGAAGTGAAGATGATTTTGAGCCGATCAGAAAGAGCATCAACGTCAGCGTTGAATGCCCTCTCCGCTTCTTTATCCGGAAATTCCACTTCATACCGTCCAGAATCGATGGCAATGTTGAGAAGAATGGCGACAGCTCCAAGTTCTCCGTAATCGTACTCATGCTGCCCCTTCCCTTTGTACCACTTCACATCGAACCGCTGTTGATTGAGGATGCTGGTTATACGCTTCAAATTGATGAGCTTTTCTGGCGGCTCACTCAGTGGTGAAGCATCATTCAACAGAAAAGACACCGCGAGGCGGCACCGGATGAGTGCGAGCCAGTCTGAGGTTGGAAGTATATGCCTAACCAGGCGACTTTGCGACATCGCATCTTTGACTGTGTCGAATACGGTCGTGCAAACACGATGCACCTAGATGTGTTAGCGAGGTTTGGAAAATCTGACAGAAACTTGACTATACCATGTCATCGGCTGTATCGTCAGGGGCACTCTCTAGCATGGTGACGATGGTTCTCTCTAGTTCAGAACAGACCAGAAAGTTGCTTGTTACTGAGACATCGAGAGTGAGACGGAATAGTAGATTCAGTGTGCGCTCTCGAGTATCTTCTGCAAGTCTAATACAGACATTAGCATCTAGGCGTATAACAAGATAATCTAACACTTACAGATCTGCAGCTCCACCGAGCAACTCAAGGACCGAGACCAGCATTCCCTCTCGTAGGGAGTTGTTCTTCACATTGTGTTCTGCATATGACCGTCAATGGATGCTTGTGACTAGGCTAATGCGAAGACGTACTGTTGATGTGCGCGTCAGGAACAATCCTTTCAGTAGTCGCTAATGCTTGGGAGGTTGCTCCCAACTGTTGAAAAACATGATCGATGTCGGCCGGTTTTATGAGAGACTTGACCCGCTCAGGGTTCGCATTCTAAGCAAGATCAGCATACTATGCCATGATTCATCCCAGCTTGTCATAGCCACTGACTTTGAACGCTCTACAAAGCGCTTGCCTGATACTGTCTTGCGTCTCTGAAGGTACTGAGGAAAGGTAAGCGATGAGAATAGGCGGACGAAAACTCATACGAACCAGCTTTGATAATCCACGAGATAACCTCGTCCGGCAAATATGACCGTGATAGAGCAAAATCGATGATGCCTGAATGGAGTGCCCGCTCCCTTGAAAGTCTCTCTGTCCAACGAATCAGTAACGAGGCTACTATCAAGAGCATGTACCGTACACTGACCTCGTAGTCGGAACATATAACCGTCCTTATCTATGCAGTCTTTGGGAAAGTCAACCGCTGGGGGTAATTCGCTTTTATAGTCAAAAAAGTGCCATGATTTGTCTAGGTCAAGAGCCTCTGTTCTTCGAACAGCATCTAGAAGTCGTCGTAGCCCCATTTCATCGTCCTGGTCACCCAGAGCCGATGCGAGGGTATCCTCATTTAGCTGTGTGGTCGGTAAAGGTGAATTGTTTTTCACATCATCCTGCTTTCCGTTCTTTCGCAAATCTTCCTTCTCAAGAGCAGCTTTCAACTTTGCAATACCAGCCTCAGTTTCATTATCATCAACTGCCTGGACAACAAGCGAGTCTAGCGTATTGCTGTACTTTGGGACCTTAACTGGAACGCGAGACCGTTTCTCTGGCTTTGCGCTGTTCACGCTGCCGTTGCGCAAGGTCATTCCTGAATTAGACGTATCATTCTCTCTATCATCCTTGCTTACAAAACCAGGAGGCTTAACAAATCTCGCAAGAAGATCTTCTGGAGACTCGAACGAGCTTAATGAATCTGTATCCTCGCCATCGGAGCTGATAACAACCTCTTTCCCGTTCTTCATAACACGTTGCGATGAGTTGAAACTTGTTCCTGGGGATGGATCCTTAGCTGCAGATTCTGTGCTGAGGAAGCTGTGATGAGGCAGAGTTTCATTCTCGCCATCCTTTATGGACTGGGACAAAGACAGTTCCAGCTGGGCGTCTGGCTCCGCTGAAGAAGAAGAGGGGCCATTTGACTGGCGAGATTGCGGGGACGAGTGAGATGGCTGATCGAGATCATTGCCGCGGTCACTGGTCTGAGCGCCTGGGTTCACTGCTGCAAGAGCCGGACGATTAAAGAAACTGGTAATGCGTCGCATGCCGGACACTTTGGTGATGGGGATATATTATAGCTGCAGAGTATGACCCGCATGCTTTGTTCGGTAGATCTCCGCACTTAGCCTCTGTTGGACACGCTGGGCGCGTGCCACAGTGCGCGTGGTCACATGACCATGAGTCAGCATTGTCTATTCATTTCCCAAAACGGCTACAGGAAATGGACTGGTATCGACTATTGATTTTGAATACCTGGGCAGTCAGTAGTGCTGCTGGTAGTAGTTTAGCCGATTTGCCAAAGACAGTTGTTCTCTGTCACTGCTAATTCGATCTATTTTTCTTCCAGATTGTGATGTACCACGCCGATTCACCAGTGGTGCGTCAGCTTCTCCATGCGCCATGACCGTTAATGTAGGGGTAGTCCAATACTCCGATGATTATGCGTCCTTGATTCCATTCCATCGATCCTCGATCCTTTTCTGGTGCACCGAACACTGTATTCTCGCGTGCCCTACATTACCTATTCTCTGCTCTGTGGAAGTCTCCCTGAAAGTCTGCTTGATTGTCGACCTCCTTGTGATTCTTGCTGTTTAGACCCCAAGCTAACTATGTTCACTACCTGCGACTCACTGGGGCCAAAAAGGGTACAGCTCTTTCACAAGGCTCTGCTGACTTCCTACTAGCCTTCGATAGTTACACGGCTGGCTCAACCTGCCAATAGTCTGTACATCACTACTCACAGTAGACAGAAAAGAATTTTTTTTTTCTTTCGCAGGATCGTATTTGGGCGCGGTCCAGGGGTGGAAAAGTGGTGCAGATCTATCTCTAAAGTACTTTGTAGTCCCCACACCGGTTCACGGTTGATCTGACCATCTGACGCCAATCTGTCATATCTCTGCTTTGGGGGCTGGGAGATGCCCACCAGAGTGAAGTACTCCGTACATGGCAGGGCTTAGATAGTTGGCCTCCTTGATTACTGAATCAGCCTTTTCCTTTCTCCCGGTTGTGCCATGCGGATGTGGATGCAGCTGCAGGCTGCGGCCGGTCTTGTTTGGAAGCCGCCGGGTTCGAAATTGGCAAAGGGGTAGGTAAAATCGCCAAATGAAACATTTTGTAGGCATACATTTTCGAGATCCGCTTCTATATAAATGGAAAAATATGCTCAAAGCACAGTCATTTGTCGATGGGAATATTGCGGCCCCCCACGGCTAAGGGTAGAGACTGTAACGCGAAATCGCAAGTTCGTGAGGTATTTAAAAATTGGGAGAATCATGGTAAATTAGCCGAGCTTTGGGGGTACGTAACGGGACTGCCTACTCAGCCTCCCGCCCAGGGTGGACATCGAGATTTGTTTGTGCTAATGTAAATGGGCGTATAATTTTGGAACATAAAACTGAAGGACACATCTTTTAAATGTCCACCGCAATAAAAAGAAAATAAGCGTTTCATGCTCATATGGCTAAACATACCTCCACGCTCATTGTTAGATGATCGGTTATAGAATCTGGCTTACTGAAACAGTCACAGAGTGATCTTCTTCTAGCCCCCATAAACAGTAAAGGTTAGTATGAACTACGCGCAATAGGTATGGGACCGCGCCAAACCGCATCAGGAAGACTGGTCTCCCCACTAACAGAAGCAGCCAAGACTGGAAAAGGAGTAGAATATGCATGAAGCATGACTGGGCAAAAGGGGAACGAGAATGTCAGGTACCCGTGCCTGGGGAACAATAGACATGAGTGTATTGGAGACGGATGCTTTTATATCCGGGATCCTGAAGCGCACTGGTGCTAGTAGACCCTGCACAGTCCATGTGCAATTCTACAATGCAAGACTCGGAGGACCGTTGGCTCAATATATGCAGTTAGCACGGATTTCTGTGGTACCTCCGAATCTCCGCGCTCCGTAGGTGGACCTATCCATGGATGCCATCAGCATGTGCCGTCCCGGACGGCTGTTAGCCTGTTTCAGGCTCCGTATCCCGACCCAGACTCCCAAGCGCCCCCAAGGTACGGAGTACGGGAGGAAGGGGAAGCCTACCATCTAACGCGACAGCTTCCGTTCCATGAAGGGTCGTTGAGTG